TTAATGTATTGTATCTCGCAAACATAGAAAGGAAACGGGAGAGTTTTAATGAATCCCTATTAAATTATTTAGTAAAAGTTAATTTGTTTTTTTTAAATTTATCATACCTTAATAAAAAGTAATAAAATAGATAGTCAATTACACCATGGTAGATAGCACTCGATCTGCACTATTAAGGACTTGACACACATAATATTGATCACCACCCAGTGACCAATCAATTAAGATAGTCAATTTCATAATCAACTAAATGCCATAAAAATTTAAAAGAAAAACAAAACAAGCAAACTATGAAACATTAAAGAAGAAAAAATGTATTTGTAAAATTTCAGCGAAAGAATTTGAAGTAAATCCAAACGTTTCGCCTGGCAATCTGGTCCAAGCTTTTTTAAGGAAAATATAATCAAACAACAAAATTATCGAATATAAATAGGTACATAGTTCTCTAGTTTACTGTATTCATCCAATCAACGTTAACACGGTTTGAAGTAGGTATTTACATAAGTGTGTAGACACTTATGTAACGCTATGAATTTGGGATTTAGCACAAAATTATCCAAGATTATTAGTCAGTAAATGACTTTCCTATTACTGATAAATATTTAACCTCACCAGTCATAAATTCTTAGTGTAATTTTTCAAAAAAATACTTCTAGCGAACTTATTATCATTCAATTTAGTTAGAAATGTGAACTATTTAAATTTCAACTAAATGATCTAATGATAACATTATTACTAATGAAAAGATTTGATCTTCTTGGATTCAGTACGTGATGATGCGATGAATGCATACTGTTAGGAAGCTTCAAATAAAATTGAAGTAACTGTCTGGGTTTTTTTAGTTAGTTTCTTAGATGATATCAATTTGTTACATGAACAAACTTAAATCTAAACTAAACTATTCAAGCCCCCCCCCCTCAAATGAATTGCTCAAGATGGAAATAAACGAGTCTATACCTTTTTAAGTAGTTCTAGATTATGTCATTCACTGTTTGTAAACTAGCTATTTTTAACATATTGATAATTTCACTTATGAAACTCATATTGTCGAATATTACTCAAATTGATTGTCAGTGTTTTCATGTAACTTCTGACAACCGCAACCTAATTACATCTAAAAACCAACTGTTCTTATCTTAAATCGCATAACGATTAGTCATGATCTATTCAGTTCATGACATCTTTACTCTAAAATATTAAAAGATTGAATAGAATTTGATCTTCACTAGAAAGAACTTAACATAGATGATATTGTTCATTACTCATTGATCAGTTAATAGCCAATGTATTTCAGTCATACAGGGGTTCACTTGTGGTACCGATAGCTGTGTAACTGTGAGTCTGGTAGCATAGAATCGAACCCGCCAACGATTACAGGTATACCTAGCTGAAGAGTTTCAAATAACACGAAAAACAGATCAAGCAGGGTTCCCTGTTCACTACCTACAATCAACACCTGATATATTTAAAGATTAAATCATCATTGTGAATAAAATGTCTACTTTCTGAAAAATTAAAGTGTAATACCAAATTATTTGGTTTGGCAATCTGAAAACCTATCATTATTACCACGCTATACTGGCAAACGAATCATGCTGTTTTTTCGTAATGATTTGTTTCTGATATATAATTCATAAAATGTTTTTAATCTATGTTGTTCATTATCAAGTTATCTAGTTTCATATGAATTCTCATACAAACACTTGCTTTCTTATCAATTACTTTAGAAAAATAGCTCAAGGACTATGGACAGTTTATCGTTCTCATAATTTACATGCACAGTGACGGATGGTAGATGGCTAGGGGTAGATGTAAATAAACCTTGGATTGAGACTTAATACTAGTTGTCATTTATTAGTAAGAAGGAACTGATGTTCTATGAGATATGGACTTGTATCAGCCAGTCTCTTAGTCTGAGACGTTAGCGATGAGTTATTCAGGCTTTGATTGACCTCTGAGATGCTCACAATACACTGATCACTGAGTAGTGCTCAATATCGGACAGGAACTGGGCGACCCATGTTTGAATCCCATGAAGAGGATCAACTCCATTATAATTGAAAGTACACATTGTCGACGAGTACCAACTAGCGCGAAATCTAAGTACAGGGTTTCTTTCCGACTAGTTCCAACCACTTTAAATCGAAATTAGCTTCTGCAGTGCCAAGTCATTTAAAATAGTAGTCACATTTCAACCTGGTCGACAGAATTCTATAAAAATTAAAAGAACTAAACGTCTCAGTAATCAATTAATTGTACACACTAATTTAGTTATTAAACAGCATTAATGGATCAATCAAACTTCAGAGTCACTTTATTTTTTTATAACTAAGTAAGCATCATGGTTTTATTATTTTTTTTAAATGATGTATATTATCTGCCTACTACGTTGACATGCTTTTATAAAGGGCTTGCTACTTATCTTAAAGTAAACTACTGTACAGTTCAAGCGGAGCTAACACAAATAGTTGGTATATTGTCCCATTAGTATGTCCTTTGGAAAAATAACGGAGAAGTGATATTATGGGAATTCTTGTATCAAATTTTTTTATGATAGAAGTATGTATTAAGAAAAGATACTTCTTCAATTATTGCAAATTTTGCGCTGAGAATTCTTAACTATACTTATTAAATCGACTCATTTCATCCACATCATGTTCACAAAATCTTAATCATCAGTCATAGTATAATATTCTTTTTCGGGTGAAGAAGTTTGGAAATAAGAAGTTTAACTTCACTGTGGATAAGTTAATCAGATACGTAGGTACGGAACTAATTGTTCGATCAGTCATAAATTAATTTTCCTGTCTAAATTTTGTTTAAAGGGATAGAAAAATTATTTACGATATAAATGAAATATAAATAAAACAATAGAAATATGCTTATGTATATATCACACAATCCCAATCTATACATTCATCTTCAACACGATTGGATGAACTATTTTCGTCAGTCAAGGTCATTGGAGATAGATTCGATCTAGCATTCCTGAAATAACTTGTCTATTTATTGAATAGAATAAAATCAGTAACACAAATAGAACGGATATTAAAATGATTTCGTATAAACGAAAATCTAACTACTATTATCATTATTATCTATACTTATTTATGAGGAAAAGGAGAGATCAACTAAAGTTTACATAAACAGACAGAATCACTCTTTATAATCTACACACACATAAATATAAATAGAGAAATCTGTATAGATACACATTAAGTGATGCAAATGTCATTTGACTTGACTTAGACAATATTTGCATATTTTATTCTGGTCTTTACAGTTTAATCGCAAAAGTAAATTCGAATTTCTTATTATCTTTGTTCATGTGTACACTGAGCAATATATATATATATATATATATCTTAAATAGAATTGCGTTCCTAAAGAAAAACCGGAAACATATTAAACTATTGAGCTATACTGACATAGTCTTGGTAGATTCGTCCCTTATCAAATGACTCCGGGCTGAAAAATTCAATCAATTTTGAGGCATTGATTTGTAGGCCTTTATACGAATTTCGCACAAATAATTTGTAGTTCACTGGATTATTGATAAAGATAAGTATCCACAGCTATCATCTCGAGTAAGATAAATCAAGTGAATGAAAAGACATTTCATATGTTTACTCGTTTTAAAATACTGTTGGTTGCTTTGTTAAGAGAAACCAATGACGATTGAAACAGTTCTCGTTTGTTGTGTTCATGAGGCGTATAACCATGAAGACAAAGTTAAATGAAACCACATAACTATTTTCAAAATATATAACTAATTTCCCCTATAATACAGCTGAAATTCCAGTTCATTATTCATTTTTTGAAGTGCCATTTTTATTGTAACACTGAAATTGATCAACAAGTTACAGAATACCTTGTAATCTCTCGTTATTTCACTGTATATATGTAATTCAATAGAAAATATTATTATCATAGGGTATTTCTGGAAATTGTAAGATTTTCATAGTTTACATCATGAACTGATCTTGTTAAGACCATCATTGAAAACCTGGAACCACTGTACGACTGTTTCGTGCTAGTATGGAACTCCTCAGCAGTGCCTATTCACAACCTTGCATCTGAGAATTGAACCAAGGTTTATTGATCTCACCCGCGAACGCTTAACATGAATATCACTGAACAAGGATTCAAAAGTGCCAATGTCTAAATTCAATCAATTTACGATAATGTCTAACCCCTCCTCAACTGGGCGTAGTGAATAAATATCTCGCACTCTACATGGTTGAATTTTACTTTTCATAACTTCTCACTAGAACTCCAGGAATTGTATGTTCAAGCTAGCCACTAGTGAGCACATGACTGTTGTTAGTACAAGGAGATTTGTGGCGATTGTAGATTTTTCATAGTTTAAATTATGAACCTATACTTATTCGTCAAACATTGGTCAATAATCGTTTGTTTTCACATTACTGACTGAATTTATCTAGACAGTCTTTCAAAGCTGGAAAACAGTAGATAGTTTTATTATAATATGGAATTCTCAATATTTTGCATCTGCAAACCCTCTTAAAAATTAAATTTATCACATTCAGGCTTCGAAGAGAATGCTTAACCTTCAAATTCTTAAACTGATATCCATCAATTTACACTCACAACTTTACCACATTCATTAATGCATTTCATATTATTTGTTTGAATCTTCCCTTTGATATTTAGGACTGCAATAGATCAGTCTCTTATTGGCATATTTACATATTGTGCGGATTACCTCGATATTGCCTTAAGTCACAAGCATTATAAGCGGGGATGGATGGTGGCTAGCAATGAAATCCAGGACATGCGTTTCATCCTACTTGAGACTCGTCGGCTGGATGTATCTGCATCCCATAGTTGATGCTCACTCCTGGACTCGAGCCGATTCCATTTGATGAGTCCCAAATAGGACAAAACGTGCGTCCTGAATTCCACTGCTAGCCACCATCCATTTTTCTTTCTTTCATTCATGTTTCACATTGCTACCCTCTTGTTTTACTTATTTACAGGGTCAAAGTGTTGAAGAAGCGTTGAATGGTCCAATGCGTAATCATTTACGCTTTTTAGTGATAAAAGATTTACATTTATTACAACCATGGTATCATCATACGATAAGACGATATGAAGCTGAATCACGTTTGGCTAGTGAAGGAAATCAAGATGGTGCATTTTTGTAAGTACCTGATTTAATTGTGATCTATGATGTGTTGTTGTTTAGTAAAATACACTATTCAACTTTTTCTTAGGAAATTTTATTCATTATTATTATTAGGAACTGATTTTTGTATTTAAATCAATCACCAAACATATCTGGATATAACATTTAAAGTTTAACATTGAAGTCACCATTCATGTTGGCAAATAAATGGAAGGTTTCAACTTCTTAGAAAAATTGGAAGGAAAGAAAATACTTTTATCATGGTGATTGAAAAGTTTCCAGTTTAGATTTGATAAGTCGTTAATACAAACAGTACAACTCAAATAACAATAATTACTAGTTAACTAACTTTTTGAAATTTTTTGTTTGTATTGTCCAGTTATTTGTTCTAATTAGAATACTTATGATATTTCCGAGATGGCAATTTATGCTTATTTGATTGAATACTCAAGAACACATTATGTAGGCGACTCAAACAAACTTCACACGAAAAAAGTAGCCGAGCACTAACTAGGTCATCATGATCATAATAATAATGCTATCAATGAAAAAAATAGAGATAAACGCATTGTATTTAAAATACAACTTGACTATCGATAATATATGAGTTAGAAATTAATGTATTCCAAAGAAAGTGAATAGGAAAATAAAAACAATGCCTTCAACTGATTAGTTATGCTATTAATTCAGTGATGACAAAGTTTTTATAGTTGTGTTGGTTACAAACTTTCCAGTCTGTTAATTGTTTCTTGAATTCATTTATAGTTGTGTTGTTTCGTTAAAAAACTGCTGAAAACCACGAAGCAATGAACAATTATTTCGTCCTAGTAAGGCACATCATATTAGTACGTTTGCACGACCTCATCTAAGATAGAATTCAAGTTTTTCATGTCTCAATGTGAGCGTTTAATCTTCTGACCACTGAGCCAATTTCTAATGGTTTAAATTTCTAACTGTAATCAGTTTGAGACAGTGTATGACTATCATCCATTATTATTGAACTCTTTGATTCGATTCTCAATTGAGTTGTAGATGCACACTACTGAGAAGTTCCATACTAGGACGCAACAGTTGTCCATTGCTTCCTGGCTTTTGGTGGTACTCTAACTAGAATCAGTTCACGATTAAGGCTAATAAATAAATCTTTTTGACTTGAATTGACAAACGCAATAATAGTCAATGCTAAGGGATCAACTAATTCCAAAAATTTCAGTCCAACAGGAGGTCAATCTCTCTCTGCGCAAATAAATCAGCAGTAACATCTCAGACATAGAAGCTTTTTTACAATGGTTCCAACTCCATAAATAACATCAATTTTCTCAAAATGTTTGGTGCATCTTGGTTACGAATGAGTAACTTCAACTGTCTTACATTAAAATATGCTTTGTGCTATATTGAGTAACTTGAACTCGTGGGACCATAGTGTAAATCAGTCAATAGAATTCGATCATCACTAAAAGAACTAGATAAATCTGACATGTCACAGCTCAGAAAGTCAATCAATTGTGTATATACTAGCCATTTTGAATGAAACAAAAAAAGGTTAACAAATATGACTTCACTTGTATTCCCCAAACACTTTTTTGACAAAACAGTGAATAAAACTTGTCAAGAATAACCATGAGAATAGAAAAGGATACTAAATTTATTACAGCATAGAAAGAATAAAATCAATCTAAACTGTTAGTATATTTACTACTACAACTTCTTTGGTTTACAGTCAAAGATTAAGATTATGTTAAAAAGTTACATAAGGGCAACTCGAAATACTCTTATATGTACAGAATAACAATCATAATCTGACCATCCTTTGCTTTCTTATAATTTACTACTGTACTAACCAACATGTTTTATCGGCTTAGGTGATCATCGATTAAGTATAATGTGAATCTCTACCTTCGTGATTATTAAAGGTTTACAGCCTTATCAACCTAATTTTACTTTGTTTACTTGGTATTCAAGCTTAAAACTTAGACTACCTCTGTCATCAAATATTACTGACTTACACTGACTTACTAAAGTTTAACCGTCATGATTTTAAAATGTGAAATGATAAACTGAGTAAATATACATATCATGGTTTACGATGGTTATTTTAGGAATAAATTAACTAAACGATATTAACAACACAGATGACATGCCACTATTCACTTTCTTTTCTTAGTAAAAATTCTTAAAAAAAAAAGAAAAACGAAAAAAAAAACGAGAAACAAATTGGCATTAATCATAGAAAATACTTAACAGATGAAAAACAATAAACATTCAATTATTACTTTAATTAATTCGACTGAAAGTAAAGGAAGGAAGTAAAGTGTAGAAAAAGTTGATTATTTATTCACTCAAATAGTCGTATAATTGATTTATACAATATAGTAATATCGGATAGAATAAATTCATCTTCGATTTAGTGTTGCATCAAGTGAGAGAGAGAGAAAGGAATGTAGAGAGTAAATGAAAGTGAATTTATCATATCGAGTAACATGATTTTTAGTATTTCTCTTACTTACTTACTTACTTGTTTACTCACTAATGACTGTTACCCCTCTTGGAGGAGTATAGACAGCCCACCAGGATTCTCTATCGAACTCTGTCCTGTGCAATCCTCTCTAGTTGTTATTTATTCTTTTGATGTTTACCTTCCTTGGTGATCTTCTTTTTTTTCCCTTCAAGTTTCAAGTTAGCTCTTCGCTCGTGATGCAATCTAGTATTTCGATATTTTAATGTAATTTCGAACAGTCTAATGGAAAGTAGTTAAATGATGAATTTTTAATATTAAAACAGATTACAAAACGTTTTAAAAGAAATAAGTAATGTATACCTACTAGATATTCCACAGTTATAACACTATTCAACTTGTCTTGTACGCATAAATGGATTGAGAATGAGAAAATTCAAAACATTTCTTCTAGACATTGATTTAAAAGTATCAAGTAGTGTAATACATTACTATTCATCTATCCTTTTGTCAAATTAATGAAATAAATATATGGTACTTCATATCAGAATAAAATAGATTGTTCAATATCTAAGGAGTAATGAATTAATTATTAAAATATCCAATATCTAACGATTATGTTGGATTTTTGAATGCTACTCCATTTTACTTCATTTCCAGCAATCCTGTGTGTATAACTATACAACTAGCTATCTCTTAAGATACATCGTTTGAAGCCAAGTTTAAAAACTTGTATTTATTCACTGAGTTCCGATACATTATTTAGTGTTATTACGAAAGATGAGGCTTAAATAACGTTTCATAAGTATTCAATAAATGGTTGTTAATGAGAAAAAAAACGCAACTCATCACTTAAGAAGACAAGACTGCCGTTACAAAATTTTGAATAAAGTATAAGCTGAACGACTCATGAAAGAAATTAGTCGTTATAGTTGTTGTCGGTCTTGCTGATATGTTTTGATATTTTGTCATAAAATGCTATTTCCCGTCACTAAAGATTCTTGAATAAAGAATCAAACAGATGTTCAGCGCTTCAAATTTTTCAGTAATTCTCTAACTAATATAAACTATTGATAATACAAACTAGACAAATCACTCCATGAACATAAAATAAAAATCAATCAATATCAGTGTAGGGGCTGTGGATATTACTACTTTTTTGAATGAGATCATGAACCGATGGATGTTAGACCACAACTAAAAACCTGGAAGTACTGGACGGCCGTTTCTTCCCATTGTGAGACTCCTCAGCAGTGAGCATTCACGATCCCTCTCGCGGGATTCGAACCCAGGGCTTTCAGTCTAACGCGCGAAAGCTTAGTCTACTGGACCATTGAGCCGGTATCCAATGGTGTTAGTGTCTAACATCAATCGGTTCATGATCTCAATAAAGAATTAATAATCTCCACAACCCATATAGTGAAAATTAACATGTGCTCACTAGTGAATAGCTTCGTGAGGGAATTCTCGGAGTTCTAATGAGAGGCCGTAACTAGTGGAGCTAGTCCGTGTCGGGTAGAGACAGCTATCTACCTCTGTGCAATGGAAGATGGTCGCGCAATTTCATGCATTGGTTGATGTTAGACACTAACACCATTAGATACCGGCTCAGTGGTCCAGTAGGTTAAGCGTTCGCGCGCGAGACTGTAGACCCTGGGTTCGAATCCTGTGAGTGGGATCGTGGATGCTCACTGCTGAGGAGTCTCACATTGGGAAGAAACGGCCGTCCAATACTTCCAGGTTTCCAACGGTGGTCTAACATCAGTTGGTACATGATCCCAACCAAAAATTCTATCAATATTTTGAAAAGCAAGGAATTTCGCTGAATGAACATCTTTGATTTCAGATTTTCCATTTTTGGAAGGCACTGTCGTAAAATGAATAAAGTTTTTGTCAATCAGATTGTTATTTGTCATAAAACCTAGATCAGTCGAAAATTCCTGTGAATTTTCCTTAACCACCTAATATCAAAGAAACATGCATCACGATGCTATGTCATTTAAACAATATAAGTTGTATATTGTAACTTGATCGATAAGGGCTGGGAGAAACAGGATGTTAGTTACTTACTAGTTGATCAATTATTACCATTTATTGAGCTTTCAATGGAATTTTTATTAAAACACGTACAAAGATGAATAACTTTATGCAAAATACCAAACTTTGTAACACTGGAGAGATTAAAATAAAACGATTTTTTGGAAACATTAAAATGAACATGAAAATTAGAGATGGAGAAACCACGTGAATATTACACCATTTTTGGTGGAGTTTTGTTTGCTGAGCTGGATGGTTTGATTTTGGAGCTTTAACAACAATGACAGGTTAAAGTTCAATAGTAGCCCATTAAAATCGAGGTTTACTAAAAAAAACTGGGAGTTATATGTGGGGAAATTTGGACACTTCACTTCTACTTTAAGTTTGTGCTAATAATGTCGTTCAGAAGGCTCCACGACCAAATCATTCAGCTCAGAGAACAAAACTCCATCAAAATCATCCAGATGAGCTATAAATCTTCACCATATTACACCGTATAATTCACCTTTACTAAATATATTTTCAAGGAATTCGATCACTTCAGTGAAAAACAACACTATCAAAATACTCTTGATAGTCTAGCAACGCTTTTATCAATAATTTGTACTCTTTCATTTTAATTACGGATAGACAAACATTATTTCAATCTCTATTGAAATTCATTTTTTGAATTTCATTGTTTTAGGCTAATGTGATGTGGTAATTTTCACCAACGTACCAGGATCTACGTTAATTAAAATTGACTAATTGACTGAATAATAGATAAATATAACTAACTTACAGTTGTATACAGACTCATTACATAATTAATTCTGGTTCCATTGAATTATCTCTTTCTTTTCTTTTGCTTTTAAGTAATCATTTAAACCTGGTAGGGGATTATATACTTAATAAGAATAAAAGTACATTTTATAAGACAAATTCAACTGAGATAAACCATTTAACAAGATTAAAGATGTATATCTTAACTTTATAAATTTAATTAATATAATAGTAATCGTATCATTGTTTTTGTATTCAAAAATAACCCCATTAACAAATCAACATTAATAACAATCATGATAATGGAATTTAACATATAGAGTTCGTTATCGTAAAGAAGATAGAACATATGTGTTAAGTTTAACAAGTCAAAATGAACCAAAACATTATCGTATTGAAGAATATTTAAGTAGATGGTCTATAGAAGGTGGGCAATATTTTGAAACTATCATGGAAGTAAGTGTTCTTATTTACATTTATATCATGTTATATATTTATTTGTCTGTTTGCTAGTGTTGCACTGAATCATACTTCCAACGAGAATCAAATGGGTTTTTGGTTTGATCTCATATATATATATATATATATATATATATATATATATATATATATGCTGTTTAGCTTAAAAATAACGTGAAATGACTTTTCACGGTGCTATCCGATTTCCAACGTCTCTCAGGGATTATATAAATGTTTCACAGAGTTAGTTCATACGTGTAAAAAGACTAGAATGGGTTTTGAGATGAGCATCGGTTTTATGTACAGTACTCATGATCTCAACCACTGAAATAACTACAATCTCCACAAAACCCCTTCTGATAATAATCAACATATACTCACTGGTGACTGGCTTCAAGACGTATATCATGAAGTTCTAGGGAGAAGCAATGAACAGTGGAGTTCAACCGGGTCTGTTGTGAAATAGTAACTCACTGATGATAATGATGGATGTGTCGCTCAATTTTGTAAATAAGTTTAAGTTAGAAATTAACACCGTTGGATGCCAGCTCAGCGGTCTGGTGGTTAAGCGCTCATACGCGAGACTGATTGGTCCTGACTTCGAATACTGCGAGCTGGATCGTAGATGCACACTGCTGGGAAGTCCCACAATAGAACGAAATGGCCGTCCAATGCTTCCAGGTTTTCTATGGTGGTTTAGCTTCAATTGACTCATAATCTCAACTATTGAAATTACTACAATCTCCACAAAACCCTTTCTGATACATATATTCTTTATTGTTGAGTTTTTAGCCTTTTGTGATCGGTCAACAAAGTATTTACAGTGTACATATAGAAGAAAATTTGTAATTAAATTTGTTGAGATAACAATATTTATCGCTTAGAGTCATTTATCCTGATGTTTTAGACACGTCAGTTGTATAATTTTATATGATTAGTACAACTGTTTTAAATAAGTTTACTGAGCCAAATAAAAAGTGGATAGCTGAGATTCAACTTATAACAACTGAGGGATCTAATATAACTATTTCATTATAGGTATAATATACTTGTAATGAAATAGTTACACTCATTACAGACTTTCTTTTGACCAAATCGATGACGTTCATTATATAAATCTTCTACTCATACAATTCAGTTATTTAACCCTAAAATTGGCTTATCAGTAATTATTCATTTAAATCATTATTGGGTAGTTCTATAAGAGTATTGATAAGAGTATGTATTGTCCTGTTGTGAATATTATCTCAACCGATAACGTATTAAGATTCTAGCTGAAGGGTGATCGGTTTCAGTCCCAGTGTGAACATTAACGCTGGAATGAATGTATTTCTAGTTGACGAATTCCAAAGAGGAAGAAACTCACTTCTTAGCCATATTTCATTTATTCAATAAGATGATCAATGTTTTTATATGGGTGTTCTAAAAATTAAAACAGTGATTTTTTTAATATTATTGTCCATAACCAGAAATAATGGGTCTATAAATAATTTGTTATGGTCATTGACATACATATACACACCTTGGATGACAGTCTATATATATAAGGGATCTAGAGAAATTGTAGAATTCTCATAGTTTAAACCGAGAACTGACCTTATCTAGGCCACTACTGAATACCGGGAAACACTAGAGGTTAAGACTTTATGCATGTAAATAAAGTTCTTTGGTCAGATCCTTCATAGGGTTTGTTTGTTTGTTTGTTTGAACACATAAATAATGGTACAGGGGGGCACCAAATATATATATATATAGGGTAGTAGATATTTAATACTGAATAGTCCCATACTAAGACGAATCAGTTGCCCAGTGCCTTTTTTTCTATCTGTTGTCTACTCGAGATCAGTTCGTGATAATATATATCAGAAAACAATATCAGTAGCCAGCAAAAATAATTTTAATATTTCTAATGGCATGATATAATACTTTCACAAATTTAGAGAAAAGCACGTTTATTTCTCACTGTATCACCTTTCATGTGATTTATTTCCCCTTCATTTTAGCTAATTGATCATTATCATTTTCGTCAAGATGGATTATTATGTAAATTACAGAAACCAATACCAGTATCAAATTTCACACGTTCACTTTCAGGTAAGTGTATGAATTATAAAAAGTTACATGGTATCAAAAAAAGGTAAATCATTTTTGTTTTACAAATTTAGACTAACAAAAATGTCACTATTGTATTGTCACATTTGGAGGTTAATGTTCACCTATTTATTGATACAATCTTATTAGTTACTAGTATGTCAGTAATCTATAACAAGACAAATATAGATTTAAATCTTTTTACAATTGATTGATCACTGGGTAGTGACAAATGTCATTATCTTTCTTAGTGCAATTGAAAATACATCTCAGTTCTATAAGAAGTCAATTACGATCAGGATAGCTTGATGCTAACGTCCCTGACTATGAAGCTTGGTAAATGGGATTAAATCCGACATGAAGCATTATTTCCCTCAAGATTACAGGTACAACTTGCTGACCAGTGCTAAATAACACGAAACCTAGGTCGAGTATATCTTGTTGATTTCTTCTAACCATCCATTACATTCAGATTTGTATTTAACAGATTTTCTATTTTAAGTAAGCCTAAAATAAAATGATATTCTGTCTTATATTCCATTAAATGTAATATTTGTTATGGTAAAGCTATATTGTGAAAAAATTATAATGTTTTCAGGTATCGTTTAACTTTTTGAATAAAGTGTAAAATCTGTTTCATATAACTAGTTTACGATCTTATTCGTCACTAAACATATAATCAATAACTACTGTACAGAAACTAACAAACAACTGTACTCATTATAACTAATGGACTATGGAAATCTGTTATTTATATTCTGAACCAAATTTAACCAACCTACTATTGGGAATCAGGAATTTAGTGGACCGAGATCTGACTCCAGTTAGATCGTATGATTGATTGCTATTGAAATATACATATTCGCCTCTATGCTTCAAGTTCGCTTGATTTGCCTATAGCTTTGTGATCTTCGCTATCCGCTGCTTCTTATTGCCTTCTAATTTCAAACACCGTTGAAATTTATATAATAACGGTTACAAGGGTGATTGATTAACGAAGCAAAGCCACTATAAGAATATTTAGATAGCTGTTTTAAACTATTATAAACCTCATCAGCAATGTTCATCTACATACCACAATGAGAATAAAACTCAGAACCTTCAGGTCTTATAGCAACAAGTGAACCTTTAGACATGTCCAATTTTAATCGATTCATGAATTATATAACTATCTTGATAAGTAAATATGAAAACGTCTTCAACACTACGGAGTTCCTGAGAAGATTGTCAACATTATCAGGAACTCATACGATGGACTACAGTGCAAAGTAGTGCATGGAGGACAGCTGATTAGAGTCAGACAAGGCTGTCTATTCTCTCCCTTCCTCTTTCTTCTGGTGGTCGACTGGATTATGAAGACCTCAACATCTGAGGGAAAACACGGCATACAATGGACAGCTCAGAATCAGTTAGACGATTTCGACTTCGCAGATGACCTAGCCCTCCTATCTCATACACACAAGCAAATGCAGATAAAGACAGCCAGCATAGCAGCAGTCTCTGCATCAGTAGGCCTCAACATACACAAAGAGAAAACCAAGGTCCTCAAATATAACACGAAGAACAGCAATCCAATCACTCTTGATGGGGAGACTCTGGAAGATGTAGAATCCTTCACATACCTGGGAATCATCATCGATGAAAAAGATGTAAAGGCGAGGATCGGCAAAGAAAGGACAACATTTATACAATTGAAGAACATATGGAGCTCAAAAGAACTGACTGTCAACCAATATCAAAGTCAGAATCTTCAATACTAACGTCAAGGCAGTTCTACTGTACGGAGCTGAAACTTGGAGAACTACAACAATCACCATCAAGAAGGTACAAGTATTTATCAATAGCTGTCTAGGCAAGATACTCAACATCCATTGGCCGGATACCATCAGCAACAGCCTTTTGTGGGGGAGAACCAACCAGCTTCCAGCTGAAGAGAAAATTAGGAAAAGACGATGGAAATGGATAGGACATACATTGAGGAAATCATCAAACTGCATTTCGAGACAAGCGTTAACTTGGAATCCTGAAGGGGAGCGGAAAAGTGGAAGGCCAAAGAACACATTACGTTGGGAAATAGAAGCAAATATGAAAAAGATGAATAGGGACTGGAAAGAGCTGGAAAGGATTGCCCAGGATAGGGTTGGATGGAGAATGCTGGTAAGCGGCCTATGCTCCTTCAGGAGGAGTAAAATTACCTTCACGGAATACAACTCTCCATTAGAATTTTAAGAATTCCCTCTTGAAATTATTCATTAGTGACCATATGATCTTTATTAGAATAAGAAATTCGTGGTTTATGTAAAATGACGTAATAATTATTTGTTGTAGACTTGTTTACATTAAAAAAAAACAATTCTATAAATAGAATTTCTTTTAGTTTCCATTTGTATTCATTTATGATCTTGACTAATGAATAAATGTTCATGTTATTTATTCTTTCAAAAAAAAGATATTGACTTCAAATATCTGTTATGTTGGTTGCTAAGTTATTGAAATAATTTTTTATTTACACATATAATAAAATTTGTTCATTATGAACTAAAATTTGGACAATAATATTAGAAAAGAAACACTTATGAATATCTTAGTAACAGATTGTTTAGTGTAACGAATCGGTAACTAATTTATCATAGATCTATAGATGTAACATATGTGAACAAACAAGCAAACAAACAAACAAACAACAGGTGTTTAAATTAACATATTCATGATACCTTTATTTCTTTATGTAAAAATTTAATCAAAAATTATATTGTTTTTTATTAACCAAAGTAAATAGTTCCTTTATTTTTCTGCATAAGATTGGTTTTAATGTGTATAGAGATAACGTGATAAGTCGTTAAATATGTTAAGAGCCTGTTATATCATAATGAAGAATAAGTGAATGGTAACTGTAAGGAGGTATTTATAAACCGTTATATATATATTCATATGTCTCTTATCATAAGCTTTCATTTGACCTATTGGCTATTACTACTCATAAGTTATTCCCGATATATTAGTTACAGTATCTTACACTCACAACCACTTTTTGGCCTGATCTTGTTTAATTGTTATTTTCTATTTTATGGTATGATGTGATTTGATTTGTTTGTATATAAATTGTGTATGTCTGAAATACAACATTCATAAAACGGAGGCTGATATTGTGTTCTGGGCTCAAAGGTCAGGGCAAGGGAAGAAGAACGAATAAGGACTCAGAGATAAATCTTGACTACTCGTACTGGTTTATACGTTATTGGTTTGATACAGTGATAAAGTTGTATAGATCGATGTTCTAATTGGTGATCTTGTCACGTGATAATTTACAAGCGACATCATATAACAGAGTCAGTTTTAGTGTAGTAATTATTATTTTCATAACAAATGTAATTGGTGTCTTATCAACCGTTCGATTTAATTAATACGTCAGCTTTATACGGAATTCTATGCTAAAGGAAAGACTGGAATGACTATGAAGTTTTATTTACTTAACCGAGTTTTAATATACACAAATCTTAGGTACATATACTATCGTACTTTTAGCTCAGACAGGGATATACGCACTGAGGCAATGATTAGGTTCACAATTCACCTATCTCACTAGCATGTCACGTTTCTGAGTTTTGCACTCGCGTTTTGACCTTGAGATGACATTTGAGCACAGATATGTAATGTGACTATGCTTGCTCAGTTTATCACCTACTCCTCCCCCCATGAAAAAGTATTACTTACATTCAGGATTTGGTTGTAATGAGAGTACATTATGACTAGTGGAGTTCGACTATGTCAGGAGTTAAGTAGTTAGTCACCAATCGGACTAATTAATTGTTGCAGTAAATTATAAATTAGCTTAAGTAAAAAAATGTTGACTACTAAGTAGGAAGTAACCGAGTTAAAACTAATGCATTGGCTTCATAAATCTATTGATCTGTTAATCAATCTTCGATAGTGTAGTCAGTCTGTATTATTAAAAAGTCACATACTCTGAAGAAAACAGCAATCTAGTGTTTGGTTGGCTTTAGGAGTACTTTAGTCGGTATGACCCCACCAGATTATTTTATCAGCGATATTATCATTGATGAATTTTAGTCAGCATGCGTGTGTACATCATGTATGGATCATCCCAATATGATGATTCTGTTACAGCTTATGTAGAACTGATGCATTGTGACTGATAGTGGAATTTAGGACGTGCATTTCATTCTGTTAAAACTTAGATTAACGTGTGCTCTGGTGTTGAGTGTACAATAACACCAAGATGTAAGTAAATCTAACTGGCAAGTCACCATAAAGTCTAAATGCACTTCCTTGATTTCATTGCTGGTGTAGTGAATGAAAACTCAAATCATACAGTGTCTCTGTAAAATGTGAAAATCACACAATAAATACATCATTTGCATATCTTCCTTCAGTTGTCCTTTACATGGTCCATCATTCTTTGAATCCTGTCATTATTCTAGTTGTTCTTTAATTCCATTCCTCTTCTCTTTATTTTAATCTTCTACTGGTAACTAATCCACTTACAATTGCTGCTACATACTACTTATATCTGTCTTCATAAATAACACGCACCATATTAGTCATAATTCATCTGTATTAATTAATAAAATGATTGTCTAGTTTATTTATTTTTTTAAAAACACTATCAGTGGTGGTACAAATGAGAACAGTTATGAAATTCATTGTAATAAGCACAGAATGCAAATGTATATGATGAATGTTGTTGGGATACTAATGAAAACCAAATATTATTGGACAGATAATTCATTCTAGTATGATACATCTAATCAGTGAACACCGATGATATCACTGAGAGTTGAATCAAAAACCTTTAAATTTCAAAGCAATCACTTATCTAATAGAACATTAGATTGATATTCAATAGTAAAATATCAATTTCTATCAATGTTCTCCTTAGTTGTTAATGGTAATCCAATGTAGATCAATCTGTAACAAAAAGTACCTCGATGATTATTTACAATTTATATTTCGTGAAGATTAAATGATTATTATTCATTTTAACTTGATAAATTTTCATTTTATATTCTTTTTTTCCGCCACTTTTTAAAAAAATAATAATTACCAAGGTTCCGGTGGTGTATCAAAAATTACAACAAAGGATGACTTCAAGGTGAGTCTGGTTATTCACTCATTAAATATATATAAATATGAATATAACTGTTACTTTATTCATATCATTATAGAACAATTTGATTAGTTAATGCATTAGATAAGAAGTTCATTTGAAGTAGATTTTCTTTAAAGATGTAGCTATTTTCTTTATTTACAATTTGTTCTCTTATTGAATCAACTTTCTTTCTGAAAACTAAATATAAATCAGGTGAAATTTTGATTGGAATCTAATTAGTTAATTATAAATTTTTATGAATAATTGTATTAAGTTTAGATTACAGTGTACTTACTTGCTTGCTTATTTACTTTCTTACTATTTTTGTAACACTGACAAAAGGACTCATAAGTAGTATCTAGTTTTCTTGTTATTACTCTACATGCTATTTTGTCCTATATGTAACCTGGTTCGTGAGTGTGTGCGTGGTTGTGAGTGAGAGTATTTCAAACAAATTTACATTTATATTCTGTTTCTTAATGTTTGTGTACTTTTGTCGATCTAATTAGTATATATTTCTCAGTATAGGGTGTTATGTCCTGCAGAAGATTACATTACGAGTAACTTCTGAGACCTATTAACGGACTAATATTATCTATATATTCTTACGGTATAACTATTCACTAGCTAGATTACATATATCTATATTCCCCTTGTTCTAAGTTTTATTTTGATCTATATATTATTATTGTACGATTTACCGTTCTTAAGCTATGTTCAGTTTAATGAATATTGCCTCCCACGTTCACAGCCACTTTTTGGCTTTATTGTGTACAAATGTTGTTTCCTATTTTACGGTGCATTGCGGTCTGTTTGTTTGATACATAAACACAGTATGTCTAAAATAAATTATCTAATTCGTTTCGATTAGCATAGTGGAAGCTGGTATTGCTGTTCTGGACTTCAGTGGACGGGCTTGGCGAACATAGAACAAATAAGGACGCTAGGCTGCTCATACCAGTCGAACGTCATTAGTCTGGCACAGTGCTAAGATAATATAAGTCTTATTTTGATTGGTGAATAGATTACGTGATGACAGGCGGCTCATAAAAGCACAACATAGGGTTGTGGAGATTATTGAATCTTATTAAGATTATGAACTTATCTACTTTAGAAAACCATTGAAAGTTTGGAGGCACTAGACAGTTGTGTCGCCCTGGTACGGGATTCTTTATTAATAAGTATACAAACTCAGGATCTTCATTCCCTCACGTGAATGCTTAACTTCAGAATGACTTGACAGAGATTCAGTCAACCCGTTATATTACATTACTATCTTCTTTGGTGGGTAATGTCTTCACACCCGATACAGTTAAACTACGCTAACCGTTCCATGCTTCCATGTCAATAATACATATGTACAGATGTAATGCGCATATTTTCACCTGTTTATTTTTCATTAGATTCTGTATTAATATCTTCCTTTCACTAAGACATAAATAATTTTAAATAAGAATCATAAAATACCAGAGAAAATTATCATTCAAAGATAAATTTTATAGCGGTTCAATATTTATTGAATACAGATTAGAAACTGGTCATCAGTAAACAGACGTTTCCATCTAGCTTGAGACCATTAACTAGTGTAGAAACAATTGATAAAATATAGAACTTTGGAGATTCTCTGAAATCACGAAAACATTCACAGTAATTCAGTGGTACATATTTCCAACTTCAACCAATTCGATATATGGAGTGTAATCTTTGCAGATGAACACATCGATAGTGAGAAACAGTTGTGGTTAAAGATCTCGTTGAATGATAGCCACACTAAATCCTAAATTAAGTGTGATTAGAAATGTGAACTGTTCTGTTCCAACTCAACTGATTGGTAGGTTTATGCTTCCTATCAAACTCGAAAGCATTTAGATTTAGTTATCCCTGGGGACATCTGACACATTTCTGCAAATGTTTGAACTCAGAAGAGTAAATTATTCAAAGTTACCTGTATTTCAATAGTTTATCGGTAGATGTTAATCCATCTTAAGAACTTCCTCTTCTTTGAATGAATCTTCATAGTTCACATCTATGGAAAAAACTCATTAGTTTTACATTTTATGATACTGGTGTTGATTAAACCTTATTGTCAATATGATTAAAAAGATATAGATGTATCACGAATTAACTTAAATAAATAGTCTCCAAACGTTTGTTAAAGTAAAAGGCTGAAGTTCTATGTAATAAATATCAAAGAAACAATAGAAATATTCTCGAGTGTTTATGTTCACTAGTTACTGTTATTCAAGACTTTCACAAGTTATTGACTATCAGGAATCAATAGCTTCTTGGATAAAGCGTTACTGTTGGAAGTGATGCGTACAGAGTTTAGTTTCAGTGTGGCTACAAACACTGAGATTTAGTTACAATCAACTGATTAATCTTGAAGAGAATTAAGCATGCCTCCTTGATTTCACTGTAAATGACAATCCAAATTTATTAAAAGTAACTAGAAAACAACTTTATTAAAAAATTTTGTTTAAATTTAAAACAACTTAATTTAGTTGAAAGTATATTTTATAACCTATATGTTTTTTGTGGTTATATTACATAATCTAAGGAAATTTAAGCCATTGTATTCTTGTAGCTATCCGTTATTGAAGAATTTTGAGCTTTGACAAAATAGCTTGTAAGTAATATACAATTTCTCTCTATGTACTTTAGTTAATACCAAAGAGCCTCTGAGAGACTAAAACATTTAAACTGAAAGAAAACTATGAAACACATCAATGAGGTCATTGAATGATGATTTGTATTTTATTATAATAAGCCTACTTGTTTTAAATTCTATGATAGCGCTAATTCTGTTCGAAGATTAAGCATATATTTGAAATTGTTTTATTTTATCCTAAATCAATAATGACGAACCTTTTCAGAAAAAAACTTGATATTTTATACAGTCGTGATATTGACTTTTCTAATTAACTTTTAGACAAAGATGGATGATGACTAACAGTGGAATCAAGGAGTGCGTTTCGTCCTATTTGGGACTCCTTAGCTGAATATACCTGCACCCCAGAGTTGATGTCCATTTCGGGACTCAAACTTAGTACCATTCGCTTTAAACCTCATCATGTTATCCAGTTAGCTACTTGGTCCTGATAGCCAGGTACATCCAGCTGACGAGTCTCAAATCTGACGAAACGCATGTCTCAGATTCCACTGCTAGCCACTATCCGTCCCTGCTTATAATGCTTATGAATTGAGGCAATATCGAGGTAATCCATACAGTATGTACATATGCCAATAAGAGACTGATCCATTGCAGTCCTAAACATCAATGGGAAGATTCAAATAAACAATACCAATTGAATTTATCTTCTCTATTTTTGTCACTTCATAAAGTTTGTAAAAAGATGATGTGAAGATCTATGGTTATTTATGTATTTACATAAATTCTTGGAGTACTAAAACGTTTTACGGAAAATGAGTTAATTAAATTATCAGAAATTATTGCAAGTACTCTGACATCTGTAATTCGTGCAGTAATAAGTGTAACGTACTGTGGGGGTACATAATATTGATACGTCATAGCATTATCGCTGTTTGGTTTAGGTTTTACTTCGTTTTCTTTCAAATATCGTAGTTACATTCTTTGCTATTCTTTCATTTTGTCAAACTTTGATTAGGTAAATGAATGTAAAGATATATATTGAGTTGGTGTTGAGGTTGAAAGTTCTTATTTTATATTTATTTCGTCTTAAGCATATAGTGTTCACAGGTATATGTTGAGACACTAAAAACTGTCATTGAATAAACAGTTCTTCTGTTCTATTATGTAAATCCTAAACAGTACTGAACCATTATTTTACTAAGAATCAATTTCGGAATTTTCAGAACTCATAGTAAGCACGATTTCATGAGTGATTCATTGAATGTCTCATCACAATCACCATTTGAACTGGGTTTTTCACCAAATGACAGCATTCATACAGATAGATTTTACGATTTCGCATGAGGCTTAGATTTAAATATATGATAATTAACTCACGAACTACGTTGGTTAAGCTTTGTAATACATCTCTGGTCGAATGAAGTTGAAAATATAAACCAATGTATTTTGAACAATCATTTTAAGTAGTATCATGTTAAATAAGACATCTTGCAGTGTTCAGGTTTGATATTATTTAAATAGTTTCGTGTGAAATAGGTTAAGCAGATGAAAGATATTTAATCTTCATCTCTCTCTCGCTTTACCTCTTCAATATAGATTCCTATTATTTCCGATAAAAGTCAACAGCTTAAAACACAGACAATTACATCAAATAATTGGAATGGTAGTCATTCATTGCCATCTCTTAATTCGATTCCAGTCACTGGAGTTATTCCATTTAACAATATTACTAATACTAATATACAATCTATAGTGAGTAACGGTGTAAACGATACAATAACTTCGAAAACAGTAACAACGGTGACCACTACAGTGACTATTATCACTGCCACTAATACTACTACCTCTACTACTAACAGCACTCCTACTTTTGCTACAAATCCAATCAGACAAGATTTAATTTCATTCAATGATTGGCCGAATGTTACAATGCTTTTATCCAATCAAGTGAGTGAAGTCATACAGGGGGTGTAATATATATATATTTTTTCTGTAGTTAGTTTATTTGTTTGCCAAGATGGAAATTAGAAGAGTAGTTATGTGATAAATTTATGCATATATAGAGTAATTGTTTGCAGTCAACTTATGGCAAACACCTCTGATTGTTTATTCTTTTTTTTTATAATTGTATATCGTTGTGTATGTGTACATGTAGATTTGTGTATGCATGTTCAGAGATGATATAGAGTAGAGTTTATTTGTTGTTTAAAAGAGATAGATGAAATAAACAATGATTTTCTTTCTATAGAAATGAATCGATTAATTATTGTAAAACATATGCAGTAAATTGATGGTTGATTTAGGTGCTAGTGTTACATCGGATCAAGTTGATGCATTACATCGCCAAAGTGAGATATTGTTAACAAAATGAATTGGAAAAGAATTCAAATTATAGTAACTACAATTAACATTGTGAAAGACTAAACATTGAAGAATCTTGTTTAAAAAAAAGAGGATAAGTTTGAGAAATCAATAGTATGAAATAATAAAGGTCAAAACAAGTGAATCAATCTACACAGCTGCGAATGATCCTGAATTGTGTCAGTCATTGGTTTTAACCACTGATCGAGATTATCACATGAATTCCAACCGAATAATTTGCTCCTACGACCATTGATTCAATTCAACAGTTAATAACGTCATAGTTACATAAGCTATTCACTCATTATTTGTATCCATGTTACATATCCGTTCGTACAAAACATCATTTTAAGAGTGTCATTAATAGGCCTACTTAATCATAACATAGAGTTTAAGAATAAAGTTTAGTTCAAGCAAACTTAACTGACTAACATCAGTAACTCTTGAAATGACCCTAGAAAATGAATTCAAATTTTAACAATTAGAATGAAGGTATGAAAACTGAATGATTTACTATATAAAATGTTTAGGGTATAGAGTAGTTGTCAGTAGTTAAGTGTGATGGTTAGGATTAATGTTACAAATACTTTGCAGCCATATGGATTAATATTTCTGAATTTAGTTTCTTAGTTTTGAGTACTAATATGTTTTGATTTACTTTTAAAAAATCATAAATTCTAATCTCGATTTCTTGGTCTTATCATGTTATCAACTGTAGAAATCTTAGTAAGTACATATTGGTAGGTTTTGTAAAGACACTGTAGTGAACAAGAACACCAGTGTGGACAATCGAATGTATTTAACAACAAATTACAGAACTAGTTAGTAAAATCTAACAACAATATATTAAATGCTCAATTTGCAAAATGTCCATCAATTGTCTCAAATGACTCAGACTTCATTGTTCTTGCATTTTCATACAAATTGCAATCTGTCTTCATTTTTTACTGTTTGATCTTCTCGTCTCTCTACTGCCAGACATTCTGTTCACGACTCACGTCATATACTACTTATGTCTACATAAGTAGCACACACCACAGTACAAGCTATCCATCATCAAATTTGAACTCTATGTAAAATTCAATAATCATTCTTTTAACATTTGTTCATCAGTAAAGTATACTTTAACTGAAGGTTTTTATTTTGAAATGATGTTATTCAGAGAATTTTTAAAAGAAACAAGAAGCTCTGAACAATAGTATTTTATTATTTGTTTTACACTACTTCAGTAGTACACATACACAATCGAACCCTTGGAAACTATAGATTTTGATGAAAGCATCATACAATTAAGTTACTCACTTGGAATCCATTGATTCGTATTTAAATCTTTATTTGTTCCAAAATGTAGCAAAAAGCTTATTTTGTATCATTATCTCTAGGTAATTAATTCACTCTTAATTTGATACGATCCTTTTGAAACATATCTACTGACTGGTACTTATTCAAATTCATCATGAAGCTATTTCACTTATGATCATATCATTATTTTTCAAGTATTTTATGTTTACCCTTATATTAACATCAGGTAAACAGTCAATTTTTCGAGACCAAGTAGTACTGGTTAGTTATTTAGTTATAATTTAGAAATTCTCAGCAGTAGTAGTAAATCTTCAAGTTCATGTTTGTCAAATTAATATCCTTTATTTTCTAACCTGGTTTATAGTTTGTATATGTGTATGGTTAATGAGTGGATGGACCTTAAATACAACATTCTGTAATAAATTATCTTTGTAATGAATAGTTATGGTTACAGCTGAAATTTGTTTGTCAAATATATGCATGAACTGTGTAAATATAGGAAATATATTTCAAGTGTTGTTATTATTTGTATCCTATCATAATTCAAATAAATTTTGCACTCTTACTGCTGAGATCTGTTAACTAGCTTAAGTCAAATTAGTAGGTAGTCTTCATTATAGATAGGATACGCTAGACTGATCAGCAGTATGAACCAATGATCTCTCCAGCTGTCGAACTCAGGTTTTTACAGTGGACCACTGGAATGACTGGATCGACGATTGATGGTACAATCTCAACTTCAGTCAGTTTACGATAAAGCTTGATGAGTAATTGATATCATCGGTAACATCTATTTAATTCTAAACTTGTTTTGAACTCCAAGTTTGGTTAACTTTGACGTGATCTATTCTTCTGATTTGATTATTTCAAAAAGACTAATTTGCTATCTATATATTTTCTAAAATAAAAATGTAAGCTTAATTTTTTTAATCGTTGAATTCATGAATCGATTAAAGCTTGATCATCATTGAAAAACTGGAAGCACTGGACGGCTGTTTTAGCTTAGTATGGAGCTCCTCAGCAGTGTACATCTACAATCTCACTGACAGGATTCGAACAGAGAACCTTCGATCTCGCGCGCGAACGCGTAACCTCTAGACCACTGAACCGTCATCCAACGTTGTTAATGTCTAACTTCAACCAATCCACGAAGTTTTTCGATTAAACATAATTCCATTCTTTATTCAACTTTATAACTAAATTAAGAAAAATATCTAAGAGTTTCCGTAAAAAATGAAATGCTTTTTTGTTTTGATTTTTGCCTCTCCTTTAATACAAAACCTAATTAAAAAGTAGTTATTTTTTATCAGCATCGTCACGAAGAGATACCAAAGACCATGAGTGAGGTTTATGTAATAGTGTATTTGTTTTCATCACTATGCATGATATGAACCCCTGCTATGAAGAGCACGAATTCCCCGTAGACTACTGTAAACCAAATAATAATAGTTATTATTTGCCCAAGCTATTAGCTATTTGAACTCAACAGCTAAGTAGAAAGACTGGATGACTGATTTATCATAGCATGAAGCACTATATTCAAAGGTTGTATTTTTCATTAATTAAATAATCTTTATCTATTATACTAACTGATGTTGCGAAATAATGGAGTAAACTGTATGTATGTAATTTGTTCTTTGTTCAATTCCCCTGTTAATAATTAAATATGGATTAATAGCTAACAAAGGATTCTAGAACGGGTTTTTTTCTTCGGTTTCTGACATGTCAACTGAATGTGCTTGCATCTCAGTGTTGATATTCATACAAGATCTCGAATCCAGCACACAAAGCTAGTGGCTTTCTGAACTCAGTAGCTCTTAGGACAACTCAATGGGTATTTGAAGCCAAAGATATTAGGTTCGAACCTCAGTGTAAACATCAACATAGATACAGGTACATCGAACCGGCGAGTCACGAACAGGATGAAACTCCTATCCTGGATTCCATTTCCAGTCACTACTCCAATTTCAGTTAATTCCCATTATCGTACAACCATCAACTAATCAGACTGATGGGTAACTACCTTTAATCAATGTTTGTTCGTGATGCAAACTAAAAAATATTTTGTTTCATTTATAATCATCGTTGTAATAAGTGACAATAATGCTGATAACATTTTCTCTCATTAGTCTTACCCATATTTCTTATTATTCCGTTAGAATTCATCAAATGAGATAATAACAACAACTGGATCAATTATTGCAGGAACAAATACAACGATAACAACAAATGAGCAAACTTGTAATTTTATAAATCGTTATCCAAATTCACAAACATCATTCACTCCATCCATTATTAATTTATCATCATCTGAACAAACACCATTAAAAATGACTAACAGTAATAATGATAATAATAATAATAACAAACATATTTCATCAAATCGTTTAATTCAAACATCCACAACAAAAGTTACAACAACAACACCAGTGGAATTGGCAATGGTTACAACATCAAATTCTGGTAATTTCACAAATGCTATGTTAATAGGATCTACACTTATACCACAAATGGCCTTATTTGATAGGGAAATAAATGAAGTTACTAAATTAATGAATGGACAAGCTACATCCGTTAGTAATAATACACATAATACTACTATGAGTAGTAATACTAACATAAAGTAAGTTGATTTTGACAATAATTTTAGTTTGTAACTTCACAATAATTCATACACAAAGTCAAATCTATATCTTTTAGATTTAACAGTAGATGGACTCTTAGGGATTCTAAAAAAAATAAAAAAATTGAATGAAACATTTATCGAGTGCTTTCTAGTTTCTGATAGCTTTCTATTTGATGTTACTTCTTGGAGAAGTTTGTTTTTAAATTTAACTAACTTCTACGGGTCGATTATTTAAACAATTGTTGGGTGAACGCTTTCATCGTGGCTGATAGCTTGTATAATCTACATTTTTCATGATCTGAACTTGTTATTAGACTAGAGATTTAATGTATTCTGATTAGAAGCTTCACTATTAAAACAATGCAATATAAGCAAAGGTCAACTACTGTTGTGTTCTATGCCCAGTTAATTATATCACATGATTAACTCTATCACATAGAACACCGACTTTTATGGCTCTGATGCTGTACCAAACCAATGACACGTTACCCAGTACAAACAGTTTAGAGTTAACTGTGAGTACTCGCCCTAAAATTTTCAGTCCAGAACACCAATATCGTGTATTTCAGACATACACAATTTATATACAAACAAATCAAACCACATCATACCATAAAATAGAAAATAACCATTAAACAAGATCAGGCCAAAAAGTGGTTGTGAGTGTAAGATACTGTAACTAATATATCGGGAATAACTTATGAGTAGTCATAGTCAATAGCTTATGATAAGAGACATATGAATATATATATATATATATATATATATATATATATATATATATATATATATATATATATAACAGTTTATAAATACCTCCTTACAGTTACCATTCACTTATTCTTCATCCGGATATAATAACCACTCACCATTATTAATCTATTAGGCGAGGGTATTGGACTGATTACTCAACGATAATGAAAATGACTAAGTAACTAATTACTTCAAATTGAGTGCCAATGATGTTTTTCAGAACCATAATAAAAGCCTTGGTATTAAATTATCCACCTCGATAAAAAAAACGACAATATCACTGAAAACACCATTCTTGATAACTACTAATTATTTTCTCTCACTTTAATTACTTACACAATTTGAACTAGTTATTTTTATAATACAAAATTTAACCAGAAATTAAAATTTTACATTAAAATGTAACATAACATTTACAATTAGTTGCCATGTAGTAATGTTAAAAGTTATTTTGACAAAGATAGAAGTAAACAGTCATTGGTCAATTTACAAATTTAATTTAAAAGTTTTTTTTAATTTATCAATTGATGGATATGTCAAAATAGTTTTTATTTGTTTGTTGTTTTTTCAGTATTCAATCCATTCAGATATTGTAAATGTGTATACATTACTTAAATACTGATTATTTCTATAGGCAAGAAAAATGGAATTTGTAAATTAGTAGTTAAGATATACATAATATAAGTTATTCATTATTATTGTAAATAATCATTCCAAATGACATTTATTGTTTTGTTTTTATTTCTGTTTATTGAACATAGAATATGTCATATTTTGAAATTGTTTAAAATTGTTTTTTTTTATTTTTAATGATGATAACCGATGAATGGAAGTTTAATAATAAGTATGACATGTAGTTCATTGTGTAGAGAAAGAAAGATGCACACTTCTGAGAAGTCAGATACTAGGATGAAACAGCCATCCAGTGCTTCCAGGTTTTCCATGATAATCTAGCTTCAGTTGACTCATGATTTCAACTATTGAAAAGAGAAAAATTTCCTTTATTTAGTTGAATATGTTTGTTTCCTTTTCATTTATTTAGTAAACATGATATTTGTTTGTTTGTTATTATGTTTAAAATACAATGAGTTTCTGTTTTTGTAAGATATACATTTGAAATCTGTTTATATATGATTATCAAACATTAAAATGTTGTATTTAATTAATTTTTCAATTATAAGAAATTGTTTTTATTTTCTTATTATGAATAATGAGTTAGTGCTTAAAGAGAAAGGTATTGAGATCGAGTCTCATGATTTTAGAAATCGAATAGAACATACGTTCTGTATTTAGGATAATGAATTCAATAAGTATGTCTAGTGGTTAAGCGCTTACTTGCGAGACTGATAGGTCCTGGTTTCGAATCTGGCGAGGGGGGGCGGGATCGTGGATACGCACTGCTGAGGAGTCAAACAATAGGACGAAACGGCCGTCCAGTGCTTCCAGGTTTTCCATGGTGGTCTAGATTCAATTGACTCATCATTTCAACCATTGAAATATGTATTAAACAATAGTTTACATTTATTTATAGTGAAAAAGAAGAACGGAGCGAAGAAGTCCCTTTTCAATTAGTTTTCCATCACGATTCCATAATATATATATATATATATATATGATTTGCAACAATGAAATAATAATCATCACGTAGTTGAATTACGTAATCGTGAGTCCTTTATAACTGATTTCACAGGAGCATTCCATCATCTTATGGCAAAACATAATCCGTCTTGAATGAGCAAAGGACAAGTAAGAATGATTAGGAGTTCTATTTTCGCCCACTTGGTGGACACAAGACATCAAGTTGATTTGAATAAGACATTTAAGGTTATTCACTATATATCATTAAATTTACTACACGGTTTACGAGTTTGTCTTTTGCATATTTCTGAAGCTATCGAAATCTATATTCACCAACCAAACCTTTGCATTCAAAAATGTTTGTAGAACCACCTTGGCTAGTTTAGCCATCCAGATAGGTGTGGGCTTTTAGATGAATTTTCATAAATATTCAAATAAATTTCTGATTTCTTTCACTTTTGTATTTTACATACTCTCAAAATTCTTAGTTTGATTCTGATATGACTACTATATTACTGACCTTACATCTAAATATTTTGTCAGTTCTTTTTTATATATTATAGTATGTAGTAACTGTTTGATCACTTTGATAATTATAATCCTCTTTCGTCTAATTACTCAATATTAGTTGAGATTATGAACTAATCAATGTTATACAATCATTGAAAACCTGGAAACAGTGAACGGTTGTTTCAGATTTTGAATGATGGTCTAACATTGATCCGTTCATGATATGAGTGCAAACTCAACATTTTCCACGACCCTATACTATTACTAAATATTATTTTATTATCGTGTCACTAAATCTACTATTACGTAACACCACTATTCGATGAGTGTTGTTTCATTGTTGCAAATCCTATATATAAATATTAGCGTTGAGTCATGTTGAAACACTAATTTAAAGCAAATTTCTTCTTTCTATTCGTGCTTCTTAGCAAATATCTATTTTTCTTTAGTCGTTCAAATGTCATGGCTTTTATTATTTATTTTAAAAAAGAGCATAAAATGTATGTAAAATGTATGTATTGAATGGATGTTATTTTAGATCACAGAATTATTATTGGAATGAGTACCTTTGTAGTGTCACTTACTATGTTAAGCCCATTTGCCTTATTCTAACTTTCGGATAGCCCGATTTATTCATTCTACTTGAGTCACATAACTTGTTAATTATTCGCTTATCAATCTTGACTGCTTTTATATGAGTGCATATATGTGTGTACATTTCTTATCCTATTCATCACATGTGTATAACTTATTTTTGTGTGCATATAAATATTGATTAACGTTTGGTTAAAGGGTAGTTGGCTTACCCGCAATCTCCACTGTGCGTCGTTTCACTTCTCTCTTTTACATTCACTTCATATGCAAAATATATGTATCCGAAATTCCATTCTCGTTATTTGATTTATTTAATTCCGTTATTGACTAACGCAATTTAAGTCGATGATTATATACAAGGATAGGCAATAACACACATTCATACTATCTATCTGGAGTCAGATCTCGGGCCACTAAAGTGGAGAGCCCGTCAACAAACATCGTCCGATCTAAATGACGACAAAATAAATGGCCCAACACTTTCATAAATCTGAAGTTGTCTTGAATAATTAAAGTAAAAAGAAAATGCATTTTGAAAGTGGCATAATGCATTAGTTAAGTGTTATGTCATTACCATGAAAGGTAAATTAAAAAAATTTATTTGTTAGAACTACAACTGGTATTTTGTAACAATTTCATATTTGATATTAACAAGAAGAAACGTATTACAGTATTACAATACATTGAGAAATTATATAATAAGTTAATTTAACAGAAGAGATTCGTAGTTATTGAATTAGTATTAATGTAAGTAGTATGATTTAATGAGGTTTAAATAATTATTCAAGTTTTCAATTTTCAACTATAGAACTCGATATTTTTGATTGATTATTTCTTTTTATACTAGTTGAACTGAAACATCATCTTTTCTAAAAGGAAAATGAAATGGTGTAAAATAAAATATTACTGTAATAGATCTCTTTTCATTTGTTTAATTATTTCAGAATATACTAATTTGTATTTAGAAGAGGGGAGAGTTTTCACTTTGCATTACAAAGTCTATTAAGGGAAATTCGATCTTTTTTTACTTTGCATCTAAAGGGAGAGGGAGAGAGTAAACTATTCATTACAAAAACTGTCAATCTTTACTAATTTTATGTTTAAAATGTTTAATTTTATCATCTCAGTTTTTAGATTTTCAATTAACCCCTTTCGTACTTTGCTTTTTCTTCACACTCTATTTTACTAATGTGACATATGTATGCAACTTGCTTTGTTTGATCACGCTCTTATTGGAGTAAACCTTTTTTATTACATTATTGTAATTATTGAGGAAGGAAATATTGTATAATTTGGATAACTATATTCGTCTTAAAATAAATATTAATTAATACATCATTTCAGTATTTAGATCAATAGTAATAATTTGACTGTTGTAATCAATATATGTTAATAATTTGATCAGTGACTCACGTCGGTGATGTAAACTGCCCAATTCATTCCATGCTAGACTCGTGTCAGCTAGTCATGAGACAGGAATATAGTATTTTCAAATTCTGATGGAGTAAAATATGGCTTTTATGGGTGTTTGATTAGAAATGCCTTCGAAGCATTACTCCCGTGTGTTGAGACCATCGAGTGAGTAACCCCTCATTGACTGAGGAGGTTATAGCTTGTATTGTACATGCTCAAGCGCTGTTTATTTTAAAGTGCAATGTTGTCTAGTGCATAATCTGGCTGGAAGAAAGCTATAGGACGCTCAACCAAAAACATGTCATTAGTCCACGACTTTATAGACTGTTAGTCTGAGCCATGTTTGTAATTGCAGATTACCCTGTGTCGATGATTTGGCTGCTATGATCGATGATTGAAAATATCCGACTCAAATTCGATTTGCAAAACAGCAAATGCATTAACTGTTTATCTTCTCTTGGATCCTGAGTTTTAAAATTATTTGAACCTTTCTAGTTCGTGTAATACCTTTTCATTTTCTGATTGTATTCTTCACACCTACTCTTCTTTACTATCACTGAAATTATAACTATTACTTCATCTTGCTTATTTATCTCACTGAGGTAGTATGGTGTCTCAACTGAGCTCAATACATATTTATCCCAGGTTCTTACATTCCTTATAACTAACTGACTAATGAATGAGGGAGATGATCCTAAACCCAAAATTATGATAAAGTATCCGAACAATTCTTCCTGGATATTCACCTGATGTTATTTCATTAACAAGTCGTGAAAATATGGCTTTTTTCTATGAAAAAATTATTAAATCATATCATTAGTTTGCATTCAATAATAATAATACCTACGCATAAATAATTAATGGATGACTTCTTGTTATTAATTCTAATTTTACTTGTAATAATCTTATCATCAATCTAATATACATAAAATATGCATGCGAAATTCATTTCACAGCAGGAACCGCATATTTTGTTCCAAAATTACACAACACTTTAGATTAAAAACATTTTAATACACACACACACACACGAAGAGAGAAACCAAATATCGATTTATAGCTTTTCCATTTATTTGTACTAAACATAAAGATGTTTATTTGAATAAGAAAAACGGAATTCGAATAAATGCGAAGTAGAGGCTGGTTCATGAGAGAACATAAAAAAAGAAAGAAAACCTATAAAAATATTAAATTCACTTGGTATTGTTTGCTTGTATCTTCCCATTGTTGTTTGAGACTTCAATTGATCAGTATCTTATTGGTATATATGCATCCTGTACGTATTGTTTCGATATTACCTTAAGTCACAAGCTAACCACTATCCATCTTTGCCTATAAAAATATTGATAACTATAATGATCATAAACAAATTTATTATTCTATTGAATGTTTTTCTTTGATTTGAATGTAACCAGTTGGATACTGTAATAAATTTATTTAAATGTCATACGAACCTGTATGAAGTAATTATAATGATTTGAATAATAAGAATCTATCATAGATGATCAATTCGATACGGTGCTATAAAAATTATAATTAATTGACTTGTATAACGTTTGTATGTGGGAATGTGTTTACTACCTCTTTGTACAAAATCACATTTTTGATTACAGTAATAATGATTAAATAATAAGGCTAATGATTTGTTACGTAATTATAAATGGTTGATTTCGACAACGTTGAATAACACTGATACGAAACGATAGATAATATTTTTAATCTGTACATTTTGTATATTTCAAATTAATCTTGAATAAGGGAATGATGGAATACAGTTATATATAAACAAGCATCCCCAGTATTTTAGGTGATTAAAGGTAATCAAATCCGCCAGGGAAGAACACTTCTCATAAATCTATAGGTACGCCTTGTTGATCAGTGTTAATTCACATAAAATCTAGGTCAAATAGGGTTTCTTGTCGACTATCTTCAATTGCCTAACATCTCAACATGGTGTATGCGATGTCAAGTCACTTTAACCAGTGATGAAATTACTAATTCATCAAATGAAGTGGATCACCTAGAAAAGAAGTCGACATATATAATAATAGACACTATTAAATGACCAATCAATTGTAGATTTTCAGTATACTCGTTTAACACAATGAAAGTTAACGATAACAAAGCAATTTAACTAGTTAAGTGATGATTGTGTACAAACAATTACAGATTGTTCGATGGTGTACTGTAATATTTTGATGCTCGAACACATCGTTGGTTGACTCATTATTTATTTAGTCTAAACTAAACTAATATTACAAGAAATATATATTAAACTATTGAATTGGAGGCATAATTTATTTCTATTAACATATTAAGTCTTATAAGTAGAGATGGATAGTGGCTAGCACTGGAATCCAGGACGCACGTCTCTTCCTTTTTCGAACTTGTCAGCTGGATGTACCTGCATCCCGAGTCTGAATTAGGACGAAACGCGCTTTTTGGATTCCACTGTTAGCCACTATCCATCTTTATTTATAATGTTTGTAAATTAAGGCAGTATTGAGGCAATACGCACGACATGCACATATGCCAATAAGAGATTGATCAATTACATTCCTAAACATCAATGGAAAGATTCAAATAAGACAATAGCAACTGAATTCCAGAAGATATTTTGAATGCATATAAAATTTTTATTGACGAAATAAACCATTGAATAGTTCATACGAAAAATCTATTTCCATTTTACTAATTCCTATCAGATATACTTTCTATATTTATATGCTCTCATTTGAGTAGTAAACATTCATAATACGCAAAAAGATATACATCAAATTATCTATTTAACCGTATTTGTTTTTAGGATATTTTGTTTATCATTTATAAATTAATAATTCAAAGAAAAAAAACCTTGTTACCTGACATTTGTCATCAGTACTATCTTTCTCTTCTGATTCCCTCTCTCTCTCTCTCCTTTTTTCTCTTTGAAGAGATTCACGTATTGGTTGTTTGAAACCGATCAGATTAAATGAACCATTAACAACAATGAGTAAAGCATTTGCTGAAGTGGATAATGCTATTGCACAAGTTGTATCAAATGCTTTCTCTTCTCCCTCTACTAACAGACAATCAATATCAACAATAACTGGTACAATTACAAATGTTATAACAACTACCACTACAGTAATGACAACTATCATTGCACCAAGTATAGATAATTTGAAGAACAATAGTTGTATTAATACTCATTTTATACATAATCACTGTAATCATACCACTGCTAATAATACTATTGATCATCATAATGATAATGTGAATATTATTGACAAACGTATCACTAATACTATTATTAATAAAGAATTCTTCCCAACACAAACATTACATTTTCCTCCAATATTGGATACACCATGGGAAGAACCAGATTGTAGTGAAGGTGAGTTTAGCTTTGTTCTTTCTTTTATCGGCTAAATATTTAATTTCTCATGGCTGATATCCGAAAATATTTTTCATTTAATATATCAAGTATAGTTTTTTGTATTTTGACAGTGATTTTAGTTATGAACTGATGACAGTTGGAGATTAACTAAAAACCATATAATTGCAGACAGTTTATTTGTTTACATCATAAAACTATCATTAAAAAACGAAAAGCACCGAACATCTGTTCTGTTTGAGTATGGAACTCTTCAGTAGTGCACATCAACATCTACTAATCAGAGTACATTCATGAACCTACAGGGAATCGAACATAAAACCTTTCGTAGTTATAAAAGTAGCTTAACCTTTGAACTGCTGAGTCGGTATCTAGTCGTACACATGATCAGTAGAGTTCGAGCATATTGGGCCTCAAACAAGTATCACTGAACGAAGTTAATAGTTGTTTCACAATATCACAAATTGACTGAATTTAGGAAATTTAAACCATTAAATGCCGACTGAGTAATCACTGTTCAGTTTGAAGGCCCTGGGTTTGATCCCGAGTGGTATCACGTATGAGCACTCTTTCAGTCAGTCAGTTACGGGTATGAGAGCTGATATCACTTCCCGGTTTCCCACACCGTGGAAGGGTATTTCTTGTTGAACCTGAAAAGAAATCGGATTAGTGTTGGTCTTAACGATCTGGGTGCGTGACCGCAGAGCCCAAGGGACAACTGCTTGAGGCCGGTCGCGCACGGCCTTTTTGTGGGAGGATTTTAATGTGTTAGCTCCGTTCTTCAAAAAGTATTGCCGCCGGAGACGGAAATCCGTGGGGTAAGGTGAGGTGTGACATTTTTTAGGGTCAACCTTTTCTAACCCCTTCCTTCCTTGTGAGAAAGCAGCATCGCTGCAGATGCTAGTTGTCCGAGGGAAACATCTTACTGCTGTCACACCTCTGTACAGTCAGCAGTACTACTTCGCCCTCAGACCTTGAGTTGCTGCTTTTCATCTTACCGTTCTCCAATCGACCTGCCTGGTATAGTAGAACCTGCAGGAACATGTGTTCCAGCAAATATAGCTCGGTTGGGTCATCACGATAGGCAAACCCGACCACCACGTCAAGGTAGCAGCTACGGTCGGGATGAGCACTCTTTAGGGATTCCATATTACACCAAACTAGTTGTTCAATACTTTCTGGTTTTTAATGGTTGTCTAACTAACGACAGTCTTCGATGTATCTTGGACCAATTAAATTATTTTCATTTACGACTTCAGTAGTGTTCACATAAGTATTACTCTATATGAGATTAAATTCTGTAAACATTAGGTCTCATAGAGAGTACTATACCATTCAGCTATTGAAAACATGGAATCCTTTGATCAATTTTATACGTCTCTAATCTATTCACAATGTAGTATTACAAATGATGTATGATCCAGTATGTGGATGTTAATAATATGATGATGATAAGGAGATATAAACAAAAAGAAACAGTTAACAAGTGTTTATTGAATTTTAATGAATTTCCGGTTTATATCTGGCCATAAGTGGAAAAGGTTACTAACAAATTTAGTAATCTTATCCACTAACCACTTAGAAAAAGAATTAATTATAGAGATAAACAAAACACAACTACTGATGTAGTGACTGGAACTTAGCTACGGTAAACAATTAGTTATATTTGGCATAATTACACAGTGGTTTAGCAAAATATGGAAATCATACATTAAATACAACATTTGCATATCTTCTTTAAGTTATCCTTTACATAATTCATCATTCTTTCGATCCTGTTGTTAATCCGATTTCCTTTCATATTCTTTTATTTTCTCTTCATTTCATTCTTCTACTGGTAAGCATTCTACTTTCAATTCCTTCTACATACAACATATCTATCCACATAAGTAATGCACAATACACTAAAATTGATTGATGGATTGTACGATCGCCTTTCATGATGCGCTTTACATTAAACTCCTTTTCAAGAAAAATCTCAACGGACAATACTTCGATGGTGTTTGGTATATGTTTACATTGTATTCACATTTAGACTAAGATTATAATAATTATGGATATGATAAAGATTGTTTAAATAAGAAATTAATAAACCTGTCACTTATTTCATTGAATTAAACTGAATTAAGCCAAATCGGATTTTAAATCTTCCGTTGAAATTAGTTGGAGTTCAAATGATTTATTTTAACAGATCATCGATAAACAATCGGAAAAGTAAAGATTAAAAAAAAACAAAAAAAAAACAGTTTATCATAAAAGCATAAAGAAGAGAATTTCGTGAAAATGTGTTGTGAAGAGAAAATCTGTAAAATGTCAACAATAAAATTAAAAAATCTCAACAACAACGAGACTGATAGGTCCTGGCTTCGAATCACGCAAGGCGAGATAGTAGATGCGCACTGCTGAGGAGTCCCACAGTAGGACGAAACAGCCGTCCAGTGCGTCTAGGTTTTTAATTGTGGTCTAGTTTCAAATGACTCATGATCTCAACCATTGAAATTACTATAATATTCACAATACCTTTTCTGAAAGAAATAAACGTTTCATATTTTTCACATAAAGAAAACTAAACAAAACTAATCACCATGCAAATTGATTTCAACGCCGAATTGTCAGTATATAAAAAGGATTTAAATTCACTTGGTGTTGTTTGTTTATATCTTCCCATTGTTGTTTAGAACTGCTTATCAGCAAATATGCATCCTGTGCAGATTGTCTCGATATTGCCTTAAGTCACAATCTTTTTAATTAGAGATGGTTAGTGGCCAGTATTAGTTTTTAAAATTAATATGAAATGTGATTATGAATCAGCAAGCGAGTACATTATTGATTACATTCATTTTTTATATTTAAAACCATTGAAAACCAGTAAGCAGTGACCACCTATCTCATTCTTTTATGGGATTTTCTCAGTAATACGTATCCATGACAATGTGACGGATTAAATCTAGGATTTTCGATCTTACATGAATTTTTCACCTCTATACTTTAGGGTGATATGTGATATATGTGTTTGATATTAATCATTTCACCATTTGGTTGGCCCATCTTCTGTTGCCTACCGTGTATTCCCTAAAATAGTTTAAAAGTAATGAACTTTACTATAAAATGAAAAATCTATTCAATTATCCCACTTTTAAAAACGGCAATAATAGAAAAAAGTACTGAAAATACTTATTAATACTTAGTACTTAGGTTTTAGTTCATTTTCAAGATGTTTCTACTAATAAACTAATAACAAATGTAGAACTATTCAATAACATTAGCCTATGATTAGTTATTTCATTTTATTATTGAACTCTTAATATACATTAAACATGGTTTAGCAGTTTTGTCTTAAATTAAATGCGTTAGAGTTAGATTCCATCCACTTTCAACTATATTCAGTTCCAAATTTAGTTTGAATTATTTGTTAGTTGTCTAAAGTTTTTATCATACTCTGTATCATACTTAAATGTTTTACATAGGTGAAGATATCAGAAGGGGTTTTATGGAGATTTTAGAAATTTCAATAGTTGAAATCATAAGTCGATTGGAACTAGACCACCATGAAAAACCTGGAAGCACTGGACGGCCATTTCATCTAGCATGAGGCTCCTCAGCAGTGCGCATCCACGATCTCACCCACCGCGAGATTTGAACCAAGGACCTATCAGTCTCTCGGGCGAGCGCTTAACCATTAGACCACAGAGCTGTCCGGCATCCAACGGTGTTAATGTCTAACTTCAACCAATCCGCGAAATTGTGCCACCGTACACAATTGTCTTCAGTGAGCTGATATCTCACAACAGACCCGTTTGAACTCTACTGTTAACGGCTTCTCACTAGAACTCCAGGAAATGCCTTTTGATGTCAGTTACTAGTGAGCAGATGATTATTATCAGAAGGGGTTTTGTGGAGATTTTGGAAATTGAACTGGTTGAAGTTAAACATTAACACCGTTGGGTGACGGACAGCTCTGTGGTCTAATGGTTAAGCGCTCGCGAGGGGCAGGACCGTGGATGCGCACTGCTGAAAATTCCCATACTAGAGCGAAACGGCCGTACAGTGATTCCAGGTTCTCCACGGTGGTCTAGTTTCAATTGACTCATGATTTCAACTAGTGATAGTTGAAGATAATTTATTGGAAACCCTGGATTAGGATTTTGTGTTAAATAGTGTTTACCAATCAGGTGCATTTGTAATCTTTAGGGAACCGATACGCTCTGTATGATTTCAGTCCATGTAAGCTAGCATCGCAGTATCAAACATAGTTACGGAGCTATCTATTTGGCAACTAACTTCCATTAAGATCGAGTTATATTTAAAATTATTGATCAATCATCAAATCGTTATCAATATCATGTTTGTCTAATAATTTAGTGTTGAGTAATTTTTATTGGTCAAACTACAATTTTATCGTTAGTCTAAGTAACTAAACATGATCTACATTATGTTGAGATGTTATGAGATTGAATATAAATGTTTATGGTTGTATCCTGTATAAATGTATAGTATAGTATAGATGATTTCTAGCTTTAGAGTTAAGTATACTTACGTATCTCATAGCTTGTTTCTTCTTTATTATTATAGACTATCTATCCATTTCTAAGCTTAAATAATCACGAAGTCAACTATAATGCTTTTATACAGAAGCTCCCCTGAAACTAGTCGTTGTTGTCCAACTTGCGTCCAATGTGTTTTACTGATCTCAAGCACCTCTAGGTTGTATCTCCTCATTTCTGCAGCAATTTGGAAAACTCTCCCAGTCTCCCACATTGTACGAGCATTCCATGTACCTAAATAAACGGTTGCTCTGGTTGTCAGAAGGGGCATCGGCCTCGTGACTTACAAAGGAACTCGGCTTTCACCATGAGGCGTCATAACTCGTCTAAAAGAAGACCTTTTGACTCTCAGGGCAGTGTTTAAATAGTTTGAATAATTTTTTCTGGTTAGCGTTTTTTTAGCGAGTTAGTTTTCTACGGAACGGCGTCTCTAACCCCATGCCCGATCCTTCTTCTTTATTCGGGCTTAGGACCGGTAGTAGCCCCCGGAGGGACTCCAGGCGGAGTTCTATATAGTATACAATTACAATTGTTAATTGTTCTCCTTAAATCATAAATATTTATAAGCTGTTCATTCCCTTTCTACATATCTTTTTGTTTCTGTATAATTTATGTACATTATCTTCATTTTTGATAAGATTATGACTACTGTTATACCAACAACAAAAGAAAACAAAAAAAAAGAATGAAACCATGACCATATGTTACATAATTTTCACAAATGACCTTCATGTCATCTTATGGTAACGTGAAATAGAATAAACACAGCTGTTCTGTAATTTATTTCTTGTTATTATTATTATTATCTTTGAACTAGTTATTTACATGGTTATCGGCTTCAATGATTGTATTATATATATGTATGTATATCAAAAAGGAAACAAAAATATGAATTCTAAAAATCCAAAAGATTTTAATGTTTTTTCAATTATAATATATGTTAGATCAAGATTGGTAAAATGAATTAGTTAATTGATATTACAAAGAGAAGTACATGTTTCAATTCATCATTTACTGTTAACACTAACATTCTCTTTTTTTTTTATTGGTGGAATTTCATTCCACGAGTGGATTGATTTAATCTTACTTAGTTACTTACTTAAATCTGTTACGTCTCATGAAGGAGCATAGGCCGCTGACCATCATTCTCTGTTCAACTATGCTCTGGATAATCCTTTTTAGTTGTTTTCAGTTGCTTTTGATCTTTTTCATATCCACCTGTAACTCTTCTAAGGCTACTATCGGTCCTAAGCCCAGGTAAAAGAAGAAGGATTAGGCATAGGGTCAACAACCTCATCCCATAGAAAATAATCTTGCGAAAAAAACATGCAGAATAGAATAAACAGATTGATTTAATCAGTAAGCTTTTATTATCTTTCCCAAAAATAATAATTTTCGAAAGAACTGTAGATTGATTATTATCGAAATTCAAATGTATGATCTGAAGATAATATGTTCATTATGAAAGTTTAAAGTTTTGTATTCGATCCATGTTGTACTCTCTTGGTAACTCACTAAAAGGAATCCTAATACTAAGAATTGAAATATGTTTGATGCTCTCTAGTTTTACAGTGGTTGTTAAGTTCATATTAGTTGATTAATTTCCACAAATCATTTAACCAAAAAGAAACGTGTTTTATTTACAACCTGATGTGGTAATTTTTTTCTTAAAGAAAATAATTTTAAACAATATTAAACTAATTAAAGTGCTGGAACTATTTCACTAGTAAACTATCCATCAAAATAAGTTAACTTCATTTCTCTAAAACATAGTTCTGTTTGGTGAAGACGCTGATGAAATGAAGAGTCTTTTGGTAGTACTAAGCAACAATGCCAGAATGTTTAGAATGAGCTTCTCTCCCTTTAAATGCAAGTTGTTGCTTTAGGGCTGGTCTGCGTCAACAAGTGATCGAAGGATATGGAGTGAAGTAGTCGAACACGTTGACAACTTCACTTATCTTGGAAGGGTGATCAGCCCTAATGGGTTTGTGTCTGACGAAATCTCAGCACGGATTCGAAAAGCTCGCTTGGCCTTTGCCAACTTACGTCATCTATGGCGAAGGCGAAATATCCGTCTATCAATTAAGGGACGAGTATAGTGCATGGCAGTTCGTTCCGTTTCACTTTACGAATGAGAAACATGACCATAAAGAGTTGAAGATGCTCGTAGGCTACAAGTATTTGACCACAGGTGCCTTAGAAATATTGCTAGCATATACTGGGAACACCGGGTAGGAAATAGTGAGGTTAGTTAGAAGCTTTATTGAAAAAAAGGTGTTTGAAATCAAACTAAATTTTGTGTGAATTACGTTAGTGTACAGTTTAATTAGGAAACTGAATGCATTCATCTTAAATATTCCAATCGTTAAATAATCACTTCCACGTGACTATACTAACCAATTTGTTAGAGACTCTTGGTGACATGGCTCACAATCGATCACAATCGTGTAGGTGTATACACCATCTGTCTTCCCTTAAACTATGAGATTAAAATCGCTTCATATCTTTCTTTCTACGTACTAATTTTTTCATCCTGTACTATATACTTATATGCTATCTTTCTTTTATATATTATCACCAATGAACTAACTACTTCTATGAATCCAGTGTTCATCTTGTTGTGTTAATGCGGTATGACAACTTGAACCGATGCATATATGTGCCTGGTCCTACGTTGTAGCTGACTGACTGCTATTCATATGTATTGATATATCAAGTTGACAAGTCCCGAATAGAACAAAATGTGCCTCTTAGATTCCACTACTATCCACTGTTTATCTCTGCTTATTATCTATGTTACACTCAAGATAAGGTGGAATAAATTTACGTTAACATAAGTTAGCATAGTATATTAGGAAAGTAGAAAGAAATTACCAAGGTGAATCGTCAAACAGTAATATCAATGACTATGCAAAAGACCAAACATTGGAGAATATAGTTCCAAAAGGAAAAAAACAAGTAAATCGATTGAATGTAGTGAACAATGTTTAAGAACAAAACTTAGAATAAGAAGAAGAGATCGAACACTTTTGTGCCATTGAAACCAATTTTGAGTCATGTCAGCCAATGTATCCAACCACTATTAGAAGTTATTGCATAAATACAATTCAGTCAGTTTTTGGCATTATTTACAGTCTAGGCTAACAGTCAATTATTTTATGAACTGTGACCGTGTTTACGTAATAATTTGTATAATAACTGTATTGAAAAATTTACAAAAAATATGATCTTTTATTAAGATTCAAGTGTACTGTTACACTATACCTACTAGTTGTATCATTTCTATTGACATCCTAATCTTTATTTCAGAAATAAATAAGTCTATTTATAACTGAAATATGGTTTTATTGAACGACAATATTGATCGGATAACGTGTTCCAGTTATATATTTTTTTGACAAAACTTTTCTACATCTCAATTCACAATAATATTTTTATTATCGATGTTTTCAGAATTGATTTTTTTTCTTTCTCAGAACATGCACAAAGTACATCCAGTAGTGGTGGTTCATTCGGTGGTGGCTTTGGTAGTGGTAGTGGTAGTAGTGGTGCTGGAAGTTGTGGAAATTCTGGACTAACACCAACTAATACAAATTTATCCACATTTATTGGAAATAATCCATTTTTACCATTGATTAGTCCAACATTAACACGTCGTACTTCTTCATTGAATAATTCGAATCATTTAATGAATAAAATAAATATTAATGATAATAACAATAATAATGAAACACCTTGTTCAACTACTACAACTATGAATAATAATAATAATAATAATAATAATAATAGTAATATTGTTGGTAATATCGGACCAATGGAAACTCAATCAAATCGTAGCGCTTGGGCAAATGCAATTAGTCCAGAGAATGCTCAACAAATATATGACGAATTGCCACCATCGAATTTCTTATTAAACTCACAAACAGTAACACTGAAAGAACGATTAGGTAGGTTAAAACGAAATTTTCCTTCAGTTATATATATATATATATATATATATATATATATATATATATATATATATATATATATATATATATATATATAGTTTAGTTTCACTGACTCTGACATGATTAAGGATCTTCGCGAAATGAATGTTTCTGAAAAAAAAGGAATGTATTCATATATTGCTAAGTAGTAAGTTGAATGATACTATCAAAATGAAAATAGTATTACTTTATATCAATGATAAATCTACTGGATTAATCACTGATATCATTAAAATTTATGTATCTGTAACACACAATCCAGGTAAATGTTCATCTGAATGTGTGGCGCATGTGTCTCATTTGATTAGTTATAGGCTATTGTGGTGTGTTGACACATAAATAATATGTATCATCAACTGAAGGTGAAATATCTGGCGGCAAAAGGTTAAGAGGGTCTAAGAAAAAAGAACATGAACAGAAAATGATTGGTGTGGAAATGAAAGAACAATGAAGTCTGAGACAATTGATTAACGTCTTGCAAATGAAGTATTTACTGTATGGTTGTCAGATTTTATCAAGTTATTCTTTAATGTCGTATTACAATACATCCGATTGTCTCCACTTGTGTTCTCGTTCACGACACTATAAGTTGTACGTACAGTGGTTTATAGATAAGTCTTGTATATTTTAAAAACATTTTAAAAAGTTTTAATGCTGTATTTTGTATAGTTAATCTCGTTAAATATAAATCATTATGTTCATTAATAAGGTGGAGGAAATTTTGGTCATGTAGTCAAAGGTTTGTATCGTACCCCTTCAGGACAAGAAGTACCAGTTGCAGTAAAAACTCTGAAACCAAATCAAATTGTCAATTCTGGTGAAGTGAGTTGAACATTATGATCATTATGTGTAAATTGTTGAATGGTAGAATTACCATTGTTGCATTTGAAAAAATGAGAAACTAGTTGTTTCACTGCAATCTAAGAGTATAAAGTCATATAATTAGTGGTTAAACATACTACTTGATCGTTTGCTGGTCTGTTTTTTTCTATAATCATTTATCAATACAAGTTCACGAGATCAGTGATCTTGTCCCTATTCGGAAAGTTAGGGTAAAATAACATGAGAGAGTTGGGCAATAATGTAAAGGGTTGTGAAAACTGCTGAATTTTGTAGTCTTGTATCACTGATTAAATTTGACTAGATAATAGTTGAAAACCAAGGAGCAATAAATAGTTGTCTCTCCATAGTATGGGACTTATTAACAAACGGTATCCACTAAACCACCAGGTATCAAATCCAGAACCTTCAGATTTCGGATTAAGACTTATTTTTCAGACAACCAGGTTGTTACGTTTCTAACTTCAGTCGATTTATAGTTTCTGGCATCTATTATCCTCCGACATTATTAATATTCGACTAACAAAACGGTGAGAAAATAATCGGGCTTACCAAGCCCCATCACGATGAGTGGGGGTGAGGGAAATAAATTACCTAAAAATGAGAATAACATTTCAAAGATAAATAGATTTATCCATTCATATTCATAGTACAACCCTTTTACTCTAAACGATATATAAAAAATGAAATTGGAACAGATTAAAAGAAGAAAGTAATAGGATAAAAACATAAGTAAAGTAAACAGACAAATCTCACCAACCACCTTATTAAATTTTTTAACATAAAACCTAGTAACTGTTAGAAAACAGAACAAAAACAAATGAGAGAAACGCTTCATTATCATTTGTTTACACTAATTCTCTTATTAGTGTATATTTCTATTCTATGTTCTCTACACGCTTTTCGTCTATCTTTATAGTGTTTTCTTCATGCTATCTCTTTCATACACATACAGACACATCTATAGAATGTCTTAAATCTAAATTGCAGACATGGAAATTTTCAGGTATATACTTACATATATACCTAAACGTATTGATCAAATAAGTGTATTTTGATTATTTCCCCAAAATCTTTTTCAATATGACAATATTAATAATGAGGATAATGATGATAAATATGATATCAGATGGAAGTGAATTGATTGATGATCGGTGTATTCAATGATACTGAATTCATGATGATAAGATTGATCATCATCATGGGATAATAATATTATAATAAATACCTTAATCCTACCAGTAAATTATATTTATGCCTAATTTTCAATCAAATTAGTAGAAAATAGTAGAGAGATATAAAAATTAATTATGGAATAGGATTTTCCATTTGACTGTAATTATGTATCTATACATATATGTATATAAGTAGATGTCAGTAATAGAAAAGAATATACATATTTATATGTGCATATAACACACTTGACAGTAATAATAGTAATAGTAATAAGATGGCTTATATTGGTAATAGAAAGACATTTTCCTGACTAAATTGATTCATTTCATTTATGAACATAGAAACTCTATTGAATTAATATAGCGATGAATGTATTTAATTGTATAGTTTATTTTCTTTAATAATTACCAATAATGAATATGTTTATCAATGTTATATTTTAAATCTAAATCATTCAATGAAATACATTGTCATTGTTACAATATAATTCAAATGGAACATCAGTCCGTCAGCTACAACGTAGGACCAGGCACATATATGCATCGGTTCAAGTTGTCATACCGCATTAACACAACAAGATGAACACTGGATTCATAGAAGTAGTTGGTTCAATGGTGGTAATATATAAAAGAAAGATAGCATATAAGGATATAGTACAGGATGAAAAAATTAATACGTAGAAAGAAAGATATGAAGCGATTTTAATCTCATAGTTTAAGGGAAGACAGATGGTGTATGCACCTACACGATTGTGATCGATTGTGAGCCATGTCACCAAGAATCTGCAACCATTGGTTAGTATAGTCACGTGGAAGTGATTATTTAACGATTGGAATATTTAAGATGAAGGCATTCAGTTTCCTAATTAAACTGTACACTAACGTAATTCACACAAAATTTAGTTTGATTTCAAACACCTTTTTTCAATAGTTTCCAACCAAAAACTAATCTTCTAATCCATTTATATTAACTGTCTGAATCTTCTCAGTGATTTTTAAAGACTGTGATTGATCTGTTTCTGTTTAGGCAAATATTCATTCTATATGGATCACTTCTATATTTTCATTAAGTCATAAGCATATTATTTCGAATTAGATAGTGGCTAGTAGTGGAATTCAGGAGGCACTTTTCGTTCTATTTGGGACTTGGTAGCTGAATGTGTCTGAATTGTAGAGTTGATGTTCATCCAATAACTGATCCCAGTATTTCCTGCACCAAATGTCATCAAGTTATCTATAAAGTTACTGAGTTCAGGTAGTCACTGGATTGTTCGATGGTGTGAATTTTTGTTCATTCGTATTGGATAATACGATGGTGTTTGAAGTGAACGATACTGAGTGGATACCAACTCTGAGATGCTAGTATATTTCGCCGAAAATTCCATGATTAAACAAAACGTGCGACCTGCATTCAATTATTAGCTACCAGTTAACTCAGCCTAAAATTTCAAATTAACTGATTTTACGAATAAATTTTTAAATTAATTCATTGAACAGGATTTGTTTATTCGTGAATGTAGCTTCCTCATCCCCGATAAATAATAATTTTGAACATTTAAGAATAGGGTATTGAGTAAAGATGGCTAATAGTTAGATGAAGCAATGAACCTTTATCGATTGAGGTGGTTAGTATACGTGCTATCAATGGTTATCGGAGGTCAAACCAAAGGGAATGATCAATCCATGAAGTCACATGACTACTGACGTGAGCCATGTTAGTAGATACAGATTACTTGATTGAGGTCCTTTAGACAGTCTCATTCAGCGATTGAAGATTATGTATGACATGATCTATAATCCATCAAAATTGAGCATATGCATTCATTCTTTACCTTCCTCAAGATCTTGAATTTCAGTAAGCCTTTATATTTATTTTTACACTGTTTCTCTGAACTACATTCTCAATGTTCAGTCTTTTAAAAGCTGTCATCTTTTTTAATGTAATCTTATCCTCTTAATATAATATACCAACTTCGACCAACTTACATTTGTATCAGGATTTACATTTATGTAGACTAGCTAACTTTGACAGTTAATTTTTAAAATTATCATAATCTTCATTTATTTCCATGAAGTATGATTTTGTTTTTGTTTAACCAAAAGAATTTTCTTTATCCTGTTTTGTTCCTGTCTCACTGCACACTGTTTCTTTATTAACTATGGAAAAAAATAGCGTGAAATTCTTGCTGAAGCACGTACAATGGCTCAATTGAAACATCGACATATTGTAAGATTAATTGGTAAGTTATTTTCTGAATTAATGTTTAACTAATAGTGTATATTCGATTACGTTAAAATTCAGATAATGAAGTAAATTTGTAGCTTAACTGGATGATCTTAATAGTTTTATTCTTTTAACTGGATAATGAGGCTTTCATTATTTTCCTGAACAATATCATTAACGTCAACTTTCGGTAGAAGTGGTAATGTTGCTCAAAGAAACAATTCCTTCACAGAGAACTAAATCTACCATGCATTTACTATACAAGACTCTTTATTAGTTGTGTTTATACATGAAGAGAAAAGATAAAAGTTTTTATTGTTTTAATCAAAAAATTGTTGAGATGATCTAGAGGCTGTCAATCTTGGGGTATTAAAGAGAAATCACTTCTTGGGAATTAGAGTTAAGTATAGAGTTCTGTGTAAAAAAGCAACATGCAGCTGACGAATCACTAAATGGATTAGACGGATATCATAGGTCATTGTTTTACAATGTAGGGCCAGTGAAATGTCATTGAGCACTAACCAAATAATCCGGCAGTTGGGTCACTGAATATCAAACAGAACACCGATCCCAGTCAAGGTCAAGGACATTTCGACGTCACACCATTCCCGTCTAACTCTAGTAGGCACCCAGTCATTCGACATAGATCATCTGCGTTTGTGATCTACAATAGATATATTTAAACCAGACACACTGAACGAAACCGTGTATGATAATGTTGTAACCACTAAATGCTTAATCTGTACTTTTTTCCAATTTATATAGTAACATATCATTCGTTTTCTCCTTGTCTTTTTTCTTCTGAAAGTTATGCCATTTTATCCTTAAAATATAATTTTCCTGACATTAATATTTCCCTTTAATTTTTATTATTTAATAATAAAGGTGTATGTAAAGAGGAACAATTTATGCTTGTCCTTGAATTGGCGCCTTTAGGTCCAATTAATAAATATTTGAAAAAGCGCCCGTAAGTTAATGAAAAACTGAATATTTTTATTCTTATTTGTGGGAGGTTTCTTTTCTGTTTTTTTTCTTCAATATCCGATAAGTATACAAAACCTAGCATCTTCAGATAGAAGTTTGTGTTGATGATGTCGTTCAGAAGAACAATGAAAGCCCCACGACCAAACCATCCAGCTTAGAGAACAAAATTCCATCAAAATCATCGACCTGAGCTACAAATCTTCTCCACAATCTCATCTTTATGTTCATTTACTGGATGAAAGGTGTATATTTGATTGAAGACTTCAGTTGAAGCATCTGAATCTATTTATATCTTTTTGTTGTTATGAATACACTAATGTAATGCATTCCAATACAAATGAATTAAAATTTGAGGCATAAAATTAAATCTCCGGTAAAAATTACACTCTTATATGCAGCACTCGCACCTTAACTTGGCAGAAAAATGCTCAAATGTGTCTAATCGAACAATTGGATAATTTGAAAAATGCCTGATTGACTTTGCATTGATAGTTTAGTTGCCTTAGTAGAGTGATACAACCAGAAAAATAATGATAAAAGCAAGTTGAATTTGTGATGTAAGTCTTTTGGGTCCTATTGTTTCATTGCCTATTAAACATCCTTGGCAGTTTACATTCACAATCAAACAAGTAGATGAAACAGTTTTTTCTATAAGTTTGTTTGTTTCAAGTGTCCAGTTAGCTACAGTAATTAAATATTCGGTTTTTCATTTAGATAAAATTTTCGGTTGACGAACTAGTATGGTTAACAGATCTGTGAATTGACATACACTGATACATCAGTGAAAATTAGAGAAAGTTATTCGGACATTCCACCCTAGTATATGACTGCTGATTAGTGAATATAAATGATCAATCAGAGACTAAAGCTGTGATCTTCTAGTTTTACAAACACTTCAGATCCTTTAAACTACTAACTGGCATTTAACATGTCTCATTTCCTTAGTTCAACCAATCGGTGATACAGAGAGGTATCACTACCGATATAATTATTTGTTTGATGTATTCCTGAAGAACATAATCCATCAATTCCTAAACAATAGTTTGTGTCAACAACAACGCCTTAGTATGTTCAATAGATTTCTCGCAAATGAGTAAATTGCCAAACCAATCACAGTATTAATTAATCCGCATCTTCCAGCCGCACATATTTCATTTATAATAACAAACGAAACAAATAAATTGGTTTCTTGGAATTTCCATTTTGTTTTCTAGATCAACAATCTCCATTGTTTCATTTCTCAAAAATACAAAATGAATACGTAACGTTTACAGATAATAGTGAAAACTTTAAAACAGAATACTGAACTATACTATTAGATATTGAACATCCAAATGTATTTCATACGATCATTATTTTGATCAAATTAATATAATTACGTAATGTCAAAGTATACTGAGCATTTTTGTCATAAATCTTACGTATTTTGTATGATTTGTCTTTATTATCAAGAATATTTTCACAATTAAATTCATGAGTTTATTTACGCTCAACTGCCATTGGAAAGCTGGAAGCACTGAAAGACCGTTTCGTCCTAATACAGAACTGATCAGCAGTGCATATCCACAATCTAACATGCGAGGTTCACACCCAGGACCTTCGGTCTTGCGCGTGAACACTTGACCTCTAGACTGTTGGGACTGCATCCAATGATATTAATGTCTAAATCCAACCAATCCACGGTGTTGAGCGACCATTTTCTGTTGTCTTCGGTGGGTAACTCTTTTACGCTCGATACAATTGAACTCCACTGGTCATGGCTTCTCACTAGAACTCTGAGAATTACCTTTCGATGCCAGTCACTAGTGAGCACATGATAACTATCAGTATAAGGTTGGATGGTGGTCTAACATTGATCGGTTCGTGATATCAATTAAAACGCAATAATCTCCACAAATCCCCATACTGATATTGAGAATATGTTTGGTTTAATATAAATCATTAGATATTCATGTATATAGCTTTTAGTTTACAACTTCTATTTGATTACCAGTAATATTGTTTACTGCATTGATATCTTCAACTTAATAAGTGAATTTCAAGAGTTTTATCTATTATCTCACTGTCTCCTACTTATAGATATATTTCATATTATTGACAATGTTAAGTCTATGTATCACATGGTATAATGGGGTTTTTTCAAGGGATAATAAATAATGATGTCATAAATGAATCCTGTTTGTCATTCATCTCAAAGAGAAAGACATAATTATTTTTATTATTTAAACTATTAGTCAGTAGTATAGTGAAAAACTATATTATTAAATAACTAAATAAAATGAAATTATCAGAGGGTTTTTGTGAATCTTTTGGTAATTTAAGAGTTGAATTCATGGGTCAATTGAAGCTAGACCACCATGGAAAACCTGGAAGCATTGGACAGTGATGGACGGTGGCGCAACTTCGTGGATTGGTTGAAATTAGACATTAACACCGTTGGACGCCGTCCGGCTCAGTGGTCTAGAGCTTAAGCGCTCGTACGCGAGACTGTGAGGTCCTGCGTTCGAGTCTCGTGAGACGGGATTGTGGATGCGCACAGCTGAGGAGTCCCACGCTAGGACGAAACTGTCGTCCGGTGCTTCCAGGTTTTCCATGGTGGTCTACCTTCAATGAATCATGAGTTCAACTATTAAATTAGAATTAAATTGGTCAGTTAGGCATACATTTATATTATGAAAAATATTTCCTAATGAGTTCTTAATTTAATTAACTCACTAAATTGATTACTATCGATTACATAAAGTTTGATGACCAAGTGAAAAGAAATGAAAAGATTATGACTGATTGTCAATTTTGCACACTGCTACTCTATGTTAACTCTTAGTAAATCATAACTCATACTACTCAATAATAATTTATAATTTCATATACTCATCTTCAAAAATCACAGTTACCCGTGTAAGAGGTAAGGGGCAGCCAAATAATACTACTCTACAGTTTAAACTCAAGTAGGGAGATCAATAATTTAAGTTACACTTCATATGGGTAAGAAATGAATACCTTAATTAATCAATTGAGTCATTGACAATTAGACTGAGTCACATTAATAGATGTAGACCATGTAGTTTGGGCCCGCGTGATTATTGTAATCAAAGGTTAGAGGCTTTAAACGACATGGCTCAAAATCGTTTGCAATGACGAATGTGCATCCAATTTTTGTCATCCCCTAAATTCTAACCTTCCGAATTCTTAACAATTTTCTTTGTTTTGACTTCACTAATTTATATTTTATTGAACCGTATCTTTGATACCTAATCTTTTCTATCACCAATGATATTTTCACTACCTCTACTACTCTGGGACTTCGACAGACAATTTCACCTCTCTGTGTTAGTGGGGTATGGTAATATGGACCGATGTTCACATGTACTAGGTTCTACGTCGCGATTGACTGAGTGAATCCTTAAACTGTCAGTACGGAGGTGTTAAATTTCGTTGAGATCTTGAATCAATCCAAATAAGGCTACCTTTGAAAACCTGGAAGTACAGGATGAAGCTAGATCTTAACGCTGTTGGATGCCGGCCCAGTGGTTTAGAGATTAAGTGTTCACGTGAGACACTTAAGATCCTGGGTTGGAAACTTGCGCACACATTGGTGGATGCGCACTGTCAAGGAGTCTCATACTAAAACGAGAAGGCCATTCAGTGCTTTCAGGTTTCAAATGTTGGTCCAACTTAGATCGTTTCATAATTTCATTGCATCCTTTAATCACTAAACTACTATATTGTTTTACCAGAAAACTCTGAAATCTTTCATTATATCATTTTTCCATAAAGTTATTTGTTTTTACTTCATACTTTTAGTGATGTCAGTGTACATACATTAACTGAACTGATGCATCAAGTTGCATTGGGTATGGCTTATTTGGAATCGTGTAAATTTGTACATCGAGATTTAGCCGCTCGTAATGTCCTATTGGTTACACGTCATTTTGCTAAGATTAGTGATTTTGGAATGAGTAAAGCATTGAATTTCGGTAGTGATTATTATCGGGTATGTTGTAATCTAAATTTTTCAACATAAATTAAAATAATGTGGTTTTCAGCATAAAGATTTTGTGAAGACTAGAAAATTTCATAATTTGAATCACAAGGTGACCTCATTTAAACAACTACTAGAAACTACTAATAATTGGATAGATGTTTCTTCGTAGTATGGGACTAATCAGCAGTATACAACTATATGTTTAACTAGGGATTAAAGTTATAAACTCCAAGTCTCATGGTCAACCTTTAACCTTTAGATAGTTGAATTGAATTCCTGTGGTTTATATTCGTGCATTCAGTCATTTCATAATTTCGGGCGACCATCATACTTTGTCTTTGTGAACCAATATGTTTGAACTTTTCTTGTCATGACTTCTCATTAGAACTCCTAGAATAAATATGAGTAAATGAGTACTGGTATAGATTTTCATATCAAAATACAATAACTGTCCAGAATTTTCTGGTTTTAAGTGGTTATTTATTTAGTGTCTTTGTACTATTGTTTAAGGTAATGTCGAGCTTATTACCAGATACAGTCTGTAACAATCACTTTATTTTGATTAGTCTACCTTGAAATGACAAGTTCATAAATGAATTGAAAATTCATATAATGCATTCATTAAAATAGAAGATTCACAACTTATTATTGATAATTTTAAAGGATGTGATATGCTGTGGTGTGTGCTACTGACGTCGACAGATGTAAGTAGTATGTATCACCAATCAAAATTGGAATGCCTGGAGGCAGCAGGTTAAGAGGATCGAAGAAAGGAGAACAAGAACAAAAACTGATTGTCGTGGAATCGAATGAACAATGAAGTCTGAGACGATTGACTGACATTTGCAAAAGGAACAGTGAAGTTTCAGACAGTTGATGGATATTTTTCAAATGAAGTATTTACTGTATGATTCTCAGATTTAAATAAGTGCTTCTGTAATTCTGTGTTGAATTACCTTCGGTTGCCCTCACTTGTGTTCTCGTTCGCTACAATACCACTACTCTCATATTTTCAAATAATCCATGAAAAGAGATCCTTTAAATTTGAATTACAGGAATACCAGGATATATCAAATTAGATGATGATCAAATATATGTATTTTATACTATTTCATACCGATTTTTACCTAGGCAATATAAAATGATAATGTTCCAGAATCTGTCTGTGGACTAAACTGACTAATTTTTATTGTTTTTTTTAAAGCATTTCCAAAGCGTTAGACGGATTGTAACGGAAGTTACTTAAGCACTCCGTTGTTCATTTATTCCAGTAACAGTATGAACTTGTTTCAGTTGATTATCCAGTATTTTTCATTATAGTGAAATCTAGTCGACATCATGTTTAAACAGACTTCTGTCAATTAACTTTTTATCTAATATGGTCGAAACACCACTTCTAGGGTTACTGCTGATCGTGATTCCGGATAAATTAGGTGGGTTGAGGATGGGGTTATCGACCCCATACCGCAGAAGAGAATCTTGTTAAAAAAACGCTAACCAGAAAAAGTCAATTTAACCACTTAAACTCTACTTCGAATGTTGAAAGATCTTCATTTAGAAGAGTTATGATGCTTCGCAGTAAAAGCCGAGATTCATCAGAGATCACGAGCTGATATCCCTTTTGATAACAAGAACAATAATTAATATAGGTACTTGGAATGTCGGAAAAATTAGCTCAGTGGGTAAGTAACAAAATCAAATATCATAGAGAAATATAAAATAGTTTAAGTTCCAAATCGCATTTTTAATTAGGAAAACAGATTCTTTTTGAGTAGTCCTTTCTATTTCAAAACCTATTTTATATTCTTTTCTAAATAGGCTGCAACGGCTGGGAAATGGCCTCTAAAATGGTATGCACCTGAATGTATATATTACTTTCGATTTGACTCAAAGTCTGATGTATGGAGTTATGGTATAACTTTATGGGAAGTTTACTCCTATGGTGAAAGACCATATAGAGTGAGTTAAAGTTTGTACGTTCATCAACAAATATATGTACATATATTCTTAGTGCCATTTTTGCTACAGACGTTTGACATCTACCAGTAAAGTAACTTCATTAGTTGGAACGAAACGATGCTTTATCACTAGAACGAAAGTGAAGCGACTGTAAATTTGAAGTCAGTAGTCTGTAGGTAACTGACTCACTGTGAATAGCTAAGTTCCTGGCTCCAATACTTGGTTAGAATCTATGTATCCATTGTAAAGAAGGCTCATGCTTAAATAAAATAATAACCCAACACTTGTCAAAATTCTCTAGTTCCGTAGTCCATGATAGTTTGTGATGTAAATTTACATGTCATCACTAACCGCCTCAAATTTTTGAACTAAACGTTAATCATTTAGTAACTAGTGTCCATTTTCTATATGAATACTCTAAATTCCAATAAGAATTGATTATTAGATATAGATTATGCAGATAGTGAGTCATTTACTCATTAATGACATTCAGTAATATCGCATAATATTTGGAGTCAATTAAAGTAGGATAAAAAGGACCATGGTTCAGTGTTTTAAACGTCATAACTTCAAAATCCCAGTATAATCGCAAGTACGTAGTGAAACAAAACAATTGTTCAATACTTCTGGAATTAGAAAAAGTTGTCTTGTTATAATTAGCCGTTGTTGTAAATAACAGGAAGCTAATTACTCATATTTTTATTACAAAATGAGACAAAAGTAAAGTGTTTTCTAAAAAAAAACTTAACATCACTTTATGTACGTATGTCTATATATTTTTAAATAGGATATGAAAGGTGCACAAATATTGGCAATGTTAGATCAAGGTCTACGTTTATCACGACCAAGTCGATGTCCAGAATCAATCTATAGTGTTATGCAACAATGTTGGAATTTTGAAGGTGTACATAGACCGACATTTGCAGAACTTGTCTTAACAATATCACGTATTTTAAGAGCAATGCCATCACCACAAACAAATATTTGCATTCCCAATCATCATCATCATAGTAATAATAGTTGTAGTAATAATATGAATACCAGTAATAATAATAATAATAATGTATTATCAAGTAATTTATCAACAAAATTTGATCATTTACATTCACCTACTCATCAACATAATAACAGTAATAAAAATGATAACACTAACAACACCACTAGCATACACAACAATAATACTGGTCTACATCCAATTGAATTTAGTCCATTAAGACGTCTTGGTGGAATTGGTACAAGTGCAAGTTCCGGTGGGAGTGGTGTAAACAGTGGTGGAAGTGATGGTACATCATTTTAAATTCAATATTCAATCAAATAATAATTACACAAAATAAGAATATAATCAAACATTTGTAAACAATATTGATAATTAAACAACCCATGTAATAATGCTTTACATAGGTTACTAGGAGAAGAAAAAAAGATAACTTTTTTTTTTAAATTATTGATAAAATCGATAACAATTATTGTTTTTGCATATTTACATACATTGTACATTTTCAGTTTATATATTTTGGTAAGTTTTTCTTTTCTCTTTTCTCCCGTTCCTTCCTTCCTTCCTTCCTTCCTTCTATCCTTCCTTTTTTTCTGAGTTTGTGCTTTCGACATTCTTCAAATGATAATCAGCAAAACAATACGAGATCCATATATGAAATTGTAAATGATTTTTTAATATTTTTTAATGATTGTCTTAAAAACAAACACTAAACAAGAAATAGTGACATGATAACTTAATTTATAATTGCCAATAAAGCCTTTAAATGATTTGGTTTTAATAGACTACATTGTTATTAGTGGGTTGATTCTCTTTGAATACTTTTAATTGAATACCAATATTATGATGATGATGATGATGATTGTCGGTATGATGATAAACATTTAAACAATTTAGATTACTGATTTTTTAAACACTAAACTCTAATAATAATCTACATATGAATGTATGATATTCAATGATGCAATTCTATTCAACTGATACTTTCTTGTTGTTGTCGTTGTAGTGAAAGTCTACAATTGTATATAATTTCAAAGTACATTTTATTTTTAACTGATAACCATTGATGAAGAAACAAAAACAAAACAAACTACTGAATATTAAAGAACACTATTTTTTAGTAATATAAATTTCAGATAAACATATATTGATTACATGTTTTTTGAATTATTGTTCAATTCATTATCAATTTGTATGGATGGAGATAATTCTTTCAAGTAGGATTAATAGTCATGGTAACCAAAATGTATATTGAATAAATCAATGTGAATACCTTTTAACTCAACTTATAACATTAACCTATTCATTATCATCAATTATTTTATTATGGAAATAATAATCTACTTTTATTTCTTGTTGATATGTAAAAAGTAAAATTAACTTTAAGATTGTATTGTACTGTTTTCTTCTATTGCTTGTTACCCTCCCCCCACATACACACACACCATCACCACCGCGACTTTTTTCAAATGAATTTATAAACTTTTATTTTTTTTCGATTTATGTCAACTATTCATCATAATATTCATATATTCCCCTATTTCTTACTTACCTGTACATTGAAGTTTGTCTTGAGTTGTTTTCGTTTTTTTCATGTTTTTTAGTTATCTATATTCTTCTCACTTGTGTGCCTCATTGTTTTATGCTTATTTGTTAACTATTAGGTTAGAAATTATGTTCATAATAAAGGATGCCTATACATTATAATATATACAGATATATGCAAATATACAGACGTTTATACATATATATATATATATATATATATATATATATATATATATATATATTCCTATTATGACAATGACAAATGTTAGCCCTTGTCCATTTTTATATATTTGCAATACAAATCAATGCATTTATTAGTAATATGATCCCTTTTCATATTACTAATACTACTGATTACTAACTATCAAATGTTATCTGTAATATGTAATTTCATTATTTGTCTGTTTATATCATTATTATTATTATTATTATTTATTTATTTATTACGATTGTGATTATTGACCAAACCTTTACATTTTATTTCATTTTTTTCCTTTTTTGTTGTTGTTGTTGTTGTGAAAATCAAACGATATAGTAAACAATCATGTTTTCCCATCATTAAAAAGAGGACCATGTAACCGAGTAAATTAATGAGAAAAAATAAACTTATCAAGAAAATTGTTAAACAAATACATTTTTGTTTTGTATAAACGATAAACATGTTTATTATTATTATTATTATTATTACTATTTATTTACAGTTTATTACAAGATTTCAAAAAGAATAAGAGAGAAAGAGAGAATGAGAAAAATAAATAAATAAATAAATACTAGACAATAAATATCATTTTTATCTTGTGTTTCTCTTATTGTTATTCTTTTATGGATTATTGGGTTAATATGCTTGGATTCAAATGATCACCTCTTAACAAAAAGGTACACTAGAGATTATCAGTTTGTGGCAATAATTGATTATTTGTTTTTTTATTCAACAAATGACTAACGATCTTTACAATGTATATTTATGATATTCTCGTTAGAGGTGATATTATTAGTGAAGTCCTTCTGTAGTGAACAGAACATGGGTGGGGAACAATCGTATGTGTTTGACAACATGTTACAGGACTTGTTATTTAAAATCTAATAATCATAAAGTAAATGCTGAATTTGCAAAATGTCCATTAAATGTCTCAGAATGACTCAGACTTCGTTGTTTTTGCATTTCCATACAAATCGCATTCCGTTTTCATTATTTACTGTTTGATCTTCTTGTCTCTCTACTGCCAGACATTCTGTTCACGACTAACATCATATACTACTAATGTCTACATGAGTAGCACTCACCACACTTCCACCGTAACTATAATTGATATTTTACAATATGAACTGAATAAATCCGGATATATAGGTTATCATTTTCTGATGTGTTGTACAAAAAATCTAGGATTTCTGGGTTTTAGGTATGTGTATCTGAGAAATCTCAATATTTTCTGATTTTTAGCTGTTTATTAGTTGAAGTCAGTTCATGTAAAGGAAAAACAATTTGTACACTAAACTAATCTCTACAATTGATCAGATAAACTAGCATCAACATGAGTTTGAGTCCCGGAGTAAATATCAATTGTGTAATACAGATACATCCAGCTGACGAATCCCAAATTAGACGAAACGCACATTCTGGATTCCACTGCTAGCCACTATCCATCTTTGCTTAAAAACCTTGTGACTTAAAGTTATATGGATACAGTCAGCACAGGATGCACCTAAGCCAACATGAGACTGATCAATTGCAGTTTTAAATAACAATGGGAAGATACAAGTAAAACAACAGCAAGTGAAATTAGTATCATCATGTTTGATATGTTCAACTCCGGTAGTCAAGATCGTTTCTTTAAATATTGTAGATGCAATTCAATAATGGAATTCAAAAAGAATGAAATTTTATCCTAAAACTTCTTGTCAATTATTTTTAAATGTGTACCTATGAAATTAGCAGAAAAAAATATTCCACTTAACTGAATCAGCTTGGTTAACACTAAGAATTGATGGATGACCTTGCATTTCAACAATATATATATATATATATATATATATATATATATATATATATATATATAACGGTAGAATCACTGGTCTAGAGGTTAAGCGTTCGCACGCAAGACCGAAGGTACGGGGTTCGAGTCTCACATGCAGGATTGTGAATGCACACTGTCCCATACTAGGACAAAACGGTCGTCCATTACTTCCAGGTTTTCAATGGTGGTCTACTTTTAATGGACTCATGAATTCAACTATTACAATTACTACAATCTCCACAAACATCATTTTGATTTTAATTTGCACGATTACTGATAGCTTGTAGGAATCAGTGAGATTTTCTTGGTCAATATAAAGAGACATTGTTTAATGTCACATTCATTATTATGATCAGTAAAGTGTTTTAAATGAATTCAGATATATTTCAGTTTCTTTTATTTACATTGTTACTTCCTCAATAAATGAAAAAGGAAACATTTTGTTCCAAGTTCCCTAGAAAATGACATAGAGAGTGTTTATACAAACATATTTGAAACTTTAAACCTAAGAGTATAATGAACTTTTCGTTTGTTTTTGTTTATTTCATCAACAATACCAGGGATGTCTATGTTTTTCGACATTTCGATTATTATTCTAATGAATGATTCTTTCTTGACATTACCGAGAGTACATATTAGATATAAATATGAAAGAAAAAAGTTATCCAAGATAGCGTAAAGTTATAGTGTAGTAAACTATAAATATGTAAGTAAATGTTCCGTTTGATGTGATATTCATATTAGATCAACGGGAATCAACAAATTCAGATCTCTCTCTACTTAGCGCTTATCGGTAAGTATACATCTTCAATCTTGATTTAAGCGTTATACTATATGGAATTCAATCAGTCACCGGATCCTTGAAGGATTTATTTATTATATTAAATTAAAGTCAGTTGTTCCACTATATCAACTTGAATAGCTCGATAATTTACGTTCTAAAAATATTGCCGATAAAATATCAGAAAATTCTATTTTTCTACTCATTGGGATATTATAGATATATTATTTTTGCTAATAATAATCTACCCAATGCTCACTTTATCTGAAAATATCAAGTCTAACGTTTGTAATAATTTCTGCCATTGTAGGTTGCATTCGTCACAGACTGATTTCACTTAACTTATCATTGGAAACTAAGGTAAACTGGATAGCTGTTTTGTCCTGCCATGAAACGCCTCGAGATTCAAGTCTCGAACCTTTAAGTTTCTGAGATCAATCTGTAACGGATACAACTTATAAAGTGAACCAAACTCTACAAAATGCATCTAACTAAAGCAATAAGTCGTTGAAAAATGATTCATCACATGGAGTGTTAAATTATGAAAATCAAGACTTACTGAATAGATATTCCGTTCTAGTTAGACGCATATCAACAGTGCATACGTTTACACCCAGTACAAGATCAAGTTGAAGTTGGTACCTTCACACCATTGCGTTGAAATCCATTGATCCGAACCTCCATCTTTAGTTAATTTGTCCGATTTTCAATGTCGTTGAACGATGATATCAGGAGTGAAATAAGCATAAAATGATGACATTGAGTGGTTTTTTAGGCAGTTCGTTAAGTTGACTAAAATTTATTTGTTCTAATTACTAACTGTTTAAATAATCAGATATTGTATTCACTTTACTAAATCTGTAAAAGCAAAACTTCCTCCAGACGAGATAGAGGTTCTAGAGATTAAAAACTCTATAAATTTACAAAGAAAGCTAACCATAACACTAAATCACTAGATTTATCACTCCGATACTTGCTTGACCTGGATAAGATACAGATGATGGGCTCGTTCGTTTGTGTATATCAGTGTAATTGCTCTCATGTAGGTATTTACATAGACCTTACGCAGAAGGCTTTTTTGTTGTTGGCTCGTAAACATGTATCAGCATAGTTAAGAAAGGATGCTATAAAATCTGCTAACAGCCTCATTCTTTATCACTTGGTGGTAGATAGTAAAAGTCATGTTTATATGGATGGAGGTTTTTATGTTTTATGTC